AAAATTAAATAAAGACCAGATTAATTATTTAAGTAGACCTATAACCCCTAAGGAAGCAGTCATTAAAAGTCTCCCAGCCAAAAAAGTCCAGAGCCAAATGGTTCCAGCACAGAATTCTACCAAAATTTCAAAAGAATTAATAACAATACCCTAAATTGTTCTACACAAAAGAAAAAGAAGATACACTGACAAACTTTTTTTTAAAGCTTTGTTATGTATACAGCGTTCTGCCTGCATGTATGCCTGCAGGCCAGAAGAGGGCACCAAATCCCACTAGATACTTGAAAGCCAAGGTGCTCTAAACTGCCAAGCCATCTGTCCAGCTCCCCCAAAAATTTTTATGAGGCTACAGGTACCCTGATACCCAAACCACACAAATATACAATAAAAAAAAAGAGAATTACAGATCAATCTCCCTAAAGAACATTGATGCAAATACACTCAATAAAATACTGGCAAACAGAATCCAAGAACACATCAAAAAAAAAAAAAAATCACCCATCATAATCAAGTAAGTTTCATTCCAGCGATGAAGGGACAGTTCAACATACGAAAATCTATCAATGTAATCCAACATATAAACAAACTGAAAGAAAAAAACCACAAGACCAACTCATTAGATGCTGGAAAAGCCTTTGACAAAATCCAACACCATTTCATGATAAAGGTCTTGGAGAGATCAGGGATACAATGAACATATATAAACATAATAAAAGCAATATACAGCAAGTCAACAGCCAATATTAAACTAAATGGAGAGAAAATCAAAGCAATCCCACTGAAATCAGGAACAAGAAAAGGCTGTCTGCTCTCTCCATATTCAACATAGTTCTTGAAGTTCTAGCTAGGGCCATAAAACAAAAGGAGATCAAGGGGATACAAATTGGAAAGGAAGAGGTCAAACCTTCACTGTTTGCAGATGATATGATTGTATACAAAAGTGGCCCCCAAAATTCTACCAGGAAACTCCCACAGCTGATAAACACCTTTAGTAATGTGCAGGATAAAAGATTAAATAAGAAAAATCAGTAACCCTCCTATATACAAATGATAAACAGGTTGAAAAAGAGAACTACACCCTTTACAATAGCCACAAATATATATATAAAATCTTGGAGTAACTTTAACCAAACAAGTGAAGACTTGTACGATAAGAACTTTCAGCCTTTGAAGAGAGAAACTGAAGAAGATAGCAGAAAATGGAAAGATCTCCCATGCTCTTGGGTAGGTAGTATAAACATAGTTAAAAATGGCAATCTTACCAAAAGCAATCTACAGATTCAATGAAATCCCCAACACAATTCTTCACTAGCCTTGAAAGAACAATACTTAACTTTAAATGGATTAACAAAAAACCCACGATAGCTAAAACAATTCTGTAGAATATAGAAACTTCTGAAAGTATCACCATCCCTGATTTCAAGCATTAATATAGAGCTATAGTAATAGAAACAGCTTGATATTGGCATAAAAACATACATGTGAATCAATGGAATCAAATCAAAGACCCTGACATAAATCCACACACCTACCAACACCTGATTTTCTTAAAATATTTATTTATTTATTTATGTATAAAATATTCTGTCTGTGTGCATGTCTGCATGCCAAAAGAGGGCACCAAATCCCATTACAGATGGTTGTGAGCCACCATATGGTTGCCGGGAATTGAACTCAGGACCTTTGGAAGAGCAGGCAATGCTCTTAACCCCTGAGCCATCTCTCCAGCCCCCAACAACTGATTTTTGGGAAAGAAGCCAAAATTGTACAATAAAAAAAGAAAGCATCTTCAACAAATGATGCTGTCATAACTGGATGTCGGCATGTAGAAGAATGCAAACAGACCCATATCTATAACCCTACACAACACTGAAGTCCAAGTGGATCTAAGATTACAACATGAATCTAATTACACTGAAGCTGACAGAAGAGAAAGTGGGAAGTAGCCTAGAACACACTGGCAAAGAAAACTACTTCCTGAATATAACACCAATAGCACAGACACTGAGATCAACAAATAATAAATGGGACCTTCTGAAACTGGAAAGCTTCTGCAAGGCAAAGGACACAATAAAACAAAACAGCAGCCTACAAAATGGGAAAAGATCCCCACCAACCCCACATCTGACAGAGGGATGATCTCCAAAATATATAAAGAACTCAAGAAACTAAACATCAAAGTATCAAATAATGCAATTTAAAAATGGAGTACAGACTGAAACTGAGAATTCTCAACAGAAGAATCTCAAATGGCTGAAAGACATTTATGGACTTACTTAACATCCGTAATCATTGCATTTGGGAAATGTGAACCAAAATGACTCTGAAATACCATAATCTTACACCTGTAAGAATGGCTAAAATCCAAAACACTGATGACAACTTACATTGGAGAGGATGCAGAGTAAGGGGAACACTCCTCCATTGCTGGGGGGAGTGCAAACTTGTACAATCACTTTGGAAATCAGTATGGCGGTTTCTCAGAAAATTGGGAATGAATCTACCTCAAGACCCAGGAATACCACTTTTGGACATATACGCAAAGCATGCTCAATCATACCACAAGGACATTTTGCTCAATTATGTTCATAACAACATTATTTATAATAGCTAGAACCTAAAAACAAAAAAAAAAACCTAGATGCCTCTCAAACAAAGAATGGATAAAGAAATGTGGTGCATTTGCACAATGGAGTATTACTCAGCAGTAAAAAACAATGACATCATGAAATTGAACTTGCAGGCAAATAGATCGAACTAGAAAAAAAATCATCCTGAGTGAGGTAACCCAGACCCAGAAAGACAAACATGGTATGTTCTCATTCATACATGGATATTAGATGTAAAGCAAAAGATAACCAGGCTATAATCCACAACCCTAGAGAAACTAGGTAACAAGGATCCTAAGAGGTATGAATCACCCTGGGAGAGGAAAATAGATGAGATCTCTTGTGTAAACTGGGGATGAGGTACAGGAAAGGGGAGAGGAGAAAGGATGGGAATAGCTGAGTTGGGGAAGGGACAGAGAAGGAGAGCAACAGAAGAGATATCTTGATAGAGCAGGCCATTAGGGAGAAATCTGGTGCCAGGGAAACTCCCAGGAATCCACAAGTATGACCTCAGCGAAGACTCCTAGCAGTAGAAAAGGTGCCTAAACTGGCATTCTCCTGTAAGCAGACTGTTGACTATCCTAATTGTCATAGAACCTTTATCCAATAACTAATGGAAGCAGATGCAGAGATTCAGAGTCAAGCACCAGGACAAGTTCCAGGAGCCCATTTGAAGAGGGGGAGGAGGGATTATATGAGCAAATAGGTCAAAATCATGATGCGGAAAGCCAGAAACAGCTGACCTGAGCACGTGGGAGTCACGGACTCTAGACCAACAGCTAGGGAACCTATATGGGACTGACTAGGTCTTCTGTATGTGGTGACAGTTGCGCAGAGTGGTCTGTTTGTATGGCCCCTGGCAGAGGGACCAGGATCTGCTCCTGATGCATGAGCTGGCTTTTTGGAACCTGTTTCCTATGGTGGATGCCTTGATCAGCCTTGATGCATGGGAGAGGAGCTTGGTCCTGCCTCAATATGATATGCCATTCTTTGTTGACTCCCATGGGAGGCCTTACCCTTTCTAAGAAGTGGATGGGAGTTGAGGATAGAAAGGAGGTGGTAGGTGGGAACAGTAAGAGAGAAAGGAAGGGAAACTGTGGGTGATATATTAAGTAAATTTTAAAAATTTAATAAAAAATGTTAAATTTACTAAATTAAAATTATTCTTGAGGTCATACTAATTTTCTTTATTTATTTTGGTTCTTATCAAGACAGGGTTGCTTTGTCGACCAACCTGGTCTCAAACTCAGAGATCCTTCTGCCTCTGACTCCTGGAATTAAAGGCATGAGCCATCACACCCAGCAAAACCACACTTACAGTTCACATCTGTTACCATAACTTTCTGGATAGTTCCCCCACCATGGTACTATGATATTGTACACTTCGCTTAGCTTTAATTCACACTAGTTTATGTCCATGCTTCCCTTCCACCTTTTTTCCATTTTGTTTTGGTTTTGCTTGTAAATAAATAAATAGAGGTAATTATGGTCTCTAAAATGGTTTCTTCACCTAAATAGACTGAATTAGCAGACAGCTAACAATAACAGAAGTCGGCTGGGCGTTGGTGGATCACGACTTTAATCCCAGCACTTGTGAGGCAGAGGCAGGCGGATCTCTGTGAGTTCCAGGACAGCCTGGTATACAAGAGCTAGTTCAAGGACAGGCTCCAAAGCTACAGAAAAACACTGTTTCGAAAAACCAAAAAAAAAAAAAAAAAAAAACAAAAACAAAAAACAAAAAACAAAACAAAAGCCTTTGTGGTTTTCTTGGTTTATTTAGATTTATTTATTTTAGGTATATGAATGTTTTGCCAGTCTGTATTTATGTGCATCACGTGCACGCCTGGTGCCCACAGAGGTCAGAAGAAGGGTGTTAGATCCCCTGAAACTGGAATTGCAGATGATTATGATGCACCATGTAGGGGGTCAGAACTGAAACCAGGTTGTTAGGAAGAGGAACAAGTGCTCTCAATTACAGAACCATCTCTCCAGTACCAGAAAATACTTTTGTATCCACACTCAAGATTCTCTGATCTCACATAAGAATCAGACACGAATGCAGTTAAATAAAAATTAAAGATAAGTAACCACACCCAAAAGCAACAAAAATACAATGCCCCTTAAAAAAAAAAGCAGAAAGACAGTCATGCATCTTTTCATTCAACGATACATGTAAATAAACACAAATTAACAAATGCATCTGGCAACTACTGAAAAAAGAGGAAACTTCAGTATGACATGGCTGAAATCTCTGCTCTGATTTGTCATTTCCTTACAGTGAGTGATATGACCACCACACTATGTGAATAAAAATGCAAGCAGTAAAACAGCTATGCCAACGATTCAAAAGTTTGGACAGGAGGGCAAACATACACATATTTAGATACTCACTTGTTCCAACTTAAAGATATGCTGATTAAAGTAGTGTTGTAAACGTTCATTAGCAAAATTAATACAGAACTGCTCAAAACTATTATTTTCATAGTCTTCAAACCCAAAAATATCAAGAACACCAATGGACAAAGTCTGTAAAACAAAAGAAAACTTATTTAAAAACAAAACTCCAACTTACTCATATTACAAGTAATAAAATACTCCTTTCTGTAACAGTTTTGGTGCTGTCTAGTATTTAAGTAAAATATACAGCAATCTGTTAATCACTTATGTAAATTATCACATAAAACCATTATAACAGGAAAATGTACTTCATTCTAATTTAGAAACATATGTGGGAGCTAAAGAGATGGCTCAGCAATTAAGAGCACATACTATCTTTTGCAAAGGACCCACATTCAGTTCCCTGCACCCACATCAGCTGACTGACAACCATCAGTGACTCCAGCTTCAGGGAATTTGATATCTCTGGTCTTTGTGGACACTGAACATATATGCATCTGCATACACACTCACATACACACACACACATGCAGGCATGCATTAAGAAATATCTGTAATGTAATGATAACCATATAATCTGTTATAAATATTTTTAAAAACATGGATATTTCTTAATCATTGGACACGAAATTGAATGGACTTTTTTAAGAAAACAGACTTATAGCAGATGGTAAAACATGTAAAATGGCAATCAACAAGAGCAAACTATACTTTCCTGTTACAGTGGTTATCATACGATAATTGATATTAGTGTTTAACTGTTTTTCTCAACTTTAAAAATAATATTTAATTGACAGAACTGATTGAGATGTGATTTTAGGGTGAGCAGGAAGAGGGAGCCATCACTGTAACTCACCCACAGCAGTGTGAGCGTACATTTACAATTTTCTGAAAGCTCACATCATAGGGTCTTAAGGCTAATAGGCAAATTAACTAAAGTAAGCTCTTTTCATTGTAAATATTTCTTTTAATAATACAAACTTAAACATATATAATATCTGCACTACAGTATCAAAATATACAAAGTACAGGGTGAGTGAACTATTATCTTGAGAAAACCAAGAAATCTTAAGTCCTATGAGGGAAAAGAAACAACAGGTATAAGAAAAATCAAAAAAGGTTAGCAAAGTGAAAAATCAGCACAATAAAGTTACTTCTGGTTATGACAAAAAATGATGCAATTCTTCTTACTTTGATCTAAACCACAAATAAACAATTTTGTTGTCAGTACTGGGCATACAACACACTCAGTAGGTAAAGGTACTTGATATCAAACCAGACCTGAATTCTAGCTGAGTAGTAGTAAATCCACTTAGTAGAATGGGAGAACTGATTCCCAGAAGCTGTCCTCTGACCTCCAGATAGTCAAGAACACAAAATAAATGTACAGAAAAAAGTTCTCCAAAGGCAGAAGGAATGTGAGGCCAAGGACACCATGAGGGATTCATAGGGAGACTTTGATTGATAAATAAATAAATAAATTGCGTGAATGAATGTTTGAAAAGTGATGGAGGAAGGTCATTGGTTAAATAAAAAGAAACCGCTTGGCCCTCATTGGTTAGAAGATAGGTGGGAGGAGTAAACAGAACAGAACGCTGGGAGGAAGAGGAAGTGAGCTCAGACTTGACAGCTCTCCTCTCGGGAGCAGATGCCTCAGAGAGATGCCATGCTCCCAGCTCCCAGGCAGACGCATGCGATGAAGCTCCGACCCAGGATGGACATAGGCTAGAATCTTCCTGGTAAGCGCACCTAGGGGCGCTACACAGATGATTAGAAATGGGCTAAATTAATATGTGAGAATTAGCCTAGAAGAGGCTAGATAGAAATGGGCCAAGCAGTGATTAAATGAATACAGTTTGTGTGTTGTTATTTCGGGCATAAGCTAGCCAGGCAGCCGGGGTGCTGGGGACGCAGCCCCACCGCCCTTATTACTACAGAAAAGTGATTAAGGACCACCTTAGGCCTCCTCCCCACCAAAAAAGAACAAACCACTAAATCAACTCATGACACTTCTGCAACAACACTTAGATCCTAGCTATTTAGTAGAGGACATAAATGTCTACTGTTCTCTTTCTTAATATTTGACTTCTAGAAATTACCTTTGTGATGTCTTACTATGATTCATTCAGATTCACCTTTAATATCTGTTACCAAGTTTGATTACTAATATTCATGACAACTTGAAAGAATCTAGGAAAAAGGTCTCTTTCTGGCCATGTCTGTGAGGGCATTTCCAGAGAGTTTAACTGAGGTGGGGAGATCCACCTTTAATGTGGGTGGGCAGCTCTATTGCACTGGCTGGGTTACAGGGACATGGGGGAGGTATCCCAAGCTGAGAGAGCTGAACGCCAGATTCCATCTCTTTCTGCTTCCATTCTGCAGATAAGATGTGACCAACCACCTGAAGCCCTTGCTGGAATGACTTACTCAAGGTGGAGAGCTGTACCCTCATAATGTGATTAAAATAAAGTGTCCTTAAGTTATTCTTGTTAGGTATTTTGTTATAGCAGCAACAAAAATAAAACCTAATGAACCATTCTATCTTTCCCACTTTCCTATCCCCCAACTCTGAAAATGGATCTTGGCCTCTAAATCGTAATCTTCCGACTTTAGTCTCTTGAGTGCTAGGATTAGAGGCATGCATCACAACCCCAAACTCAATCTCATTCTAACATGGGGTATAACACTCTTGATTAAATGAGAAAATGCCTCCACTGGTGATGAGATGCAGTAAGCAAACTAATATGGTGTCCAAAAAGATGCTTTGAAAACTATATCATGCTGGGTGGTGGTGGCACACGCCTTTAATCCCAGCACTTGGTAGCCAGAGGCAGGCAGATTTCTATGAGTTTGAGGCCAGCCTGGGCAACAGAGCGAGTACCAGAACAAGCTCCAAAATGACACAGAGAAACCTGTATCAAAAAACAACAAGCCAGGCGGTGGTGGCGCACGCCTTTAATCCCAGCACTTGGGAGGCAGAGGCAGGTGAATCTCTCTGAGTTCGAGACCAGCCTGGTCTACAAGAGCTAGTTCCAGGACAGGCTCCAAAGCCACAGAGAAACCCTGTCTCGAAAAACCAAAAAAAAAAAAAAAAAAAAAAAAAAAAAAAAAAGAAAAGCATGACAAGATATTTGGCTTTCATTCCTAAAACGAATGGCAAAAAATTAGAAAGGAGAATAATTTCTCTCATATTAGAAAATATAAACACTGATAATATACAATATGGATAAAAGTTCAGAGAAAAAAAAAACTACACCTCACTGGTAGAAGTATACAGTCCTTGCCAGGTGGTGCTGGCAAGTCTCTAATCCCAACATTTAGTAGATAGAGGCGGGCAGAACTCTGAGAGTTTGAGGCAGGTCTGGTCTACAAGAGCTAGTTCCAGGACAGGCTCCAAAGCAACAGAGAAGCCGTCTCAAAAAACAAAACAATGAGCCTATAATTTGTGATCCTAGAGAAGCTAAATAAGACGGTGAACCCAAAGAAAAACATATAGTTATCCTCCTGGGTATTGGAAGTAGACAAGATTACTGGGCAAAAATTGGGGACTGGGGGGTGGGGTGGGATGGGGGAAAGGGGAGATAGGGAGAGAAAAGTGAGAAGGGGAGGATGAGGACAGCTTGGGGGAATGGGATTGTTGGGATAAAGGAAGGGTGGATATGGGAGCAGGGAAGTATATATCTTAATAAAGGGAGCCATTTTAGGATTGGCAAGAGTCTTGACTCTAGAGGGGTTCCCAGGGGTACAGAGAGATGTCCCCAGCTAGGTCCTTGGGCAGCTGACGAGAGGGAGCCTGAAACGGCCCAGTCCTATAGCCATACTAATGATTATCTTGCATATCACCATAGAACCTTCATCTGGCGATGGATGGAGATAGAGACAGAGACCCACATTAGAGCACTGGACTGAGCTCCCAAAGTCCAAATGAGGAGCAGAAGGAGGGAGTACATGAGCAAGGAAGTCAGGACCACGATTGGTGCACCCACCCACTGAGACAGTGGGGCTGATTTATTGGGAGCTCACCAAGGCCAGCTGGACTGAGTCTGAAAAAGAATGAGATAAAACCGGACTCTCTGAACATGGCGGACAATGAGGGCTGCTGAGAAGCCAAGGACAATGGCACTGGGTTTTGATCCTACTGCATGTACTGGCTTTGTGGGAGCCTAGCTTGTTTGGATGCTCACTTTCCTAGACCTGGATGGAGGGGGGAGGGGAGGCCCTTGGACTTCCCTCAGGGCAGGGAACCCTTACTACTCTTGGGACTGGAGAGGGAAGGGGGAGGGAGTGGAAGGGAGGGGGAGGAAAAAGGGAAGTGGGGAGGAGGTGGAAATTTTTAATAAAAAAAAAAAACACAGATTGAACTCAAAAAAATAAAAAACAATCAAAAAATGAAAAAAAGTATACAGTCCTTTCGGGAGCAACAGATAACATCCTTAAACCCAGGAAGAATAAGCTAAAGTTATCCTATAGAGAAGTATACAAAGGTCAGTAAAAGAATATCTATACTGGAACATGGTGGAGTCCACCTCTAACCCCAAGAACCTATCAGTCAGGCATAGAAGGATCTCAAGTACAAAACAACCTGGCTATACAGTAGCACTCTGTCTAAAAAAAAAAAGTATTTATTTTAGTATTGTTTAGGATGAAACAAAAATATTTACTTGTAGTGAGATAATCTAAGACACAAATCACACTAAATATCACAATTTGGGGGCTTTAGGGGGCGGGGTTCCCCCCAAGGAAGTTTCTTCATGTAGTCCTAGCTGTCCTGGAACTCATTCTGTCATATGAGTGGGCTGGCCTCGAACACACAGAGATACACTTGCCTTTGTCTCCCAAGGATTGGGATTAAAGGTGTATGCAACCATGCCCAGCTAGTATTACACAATTATTAAAAATATATAATGACATACTTTATGAAATCTTATATGAAAATGTATTTTATAGGAATCTATTTTAAGAAATTTTTATATAAAAAACAAAACTGGAACAATACAAAGTTTGATTCTATTTCTATTTTTAAGATCAACTTTGTATATAAAGGTCCTTAGCATGTAAATAAATAGGGCGATGGTACAGAAAGACACACAGAACAGTTAACCTGAATATGGAAATAAGTAACAGAAGTAAAGCTGATTTGACTCTATGTAATTTTATTCCTTAAAATTTCAAGTACTCACCAGTTTATTTAATGGTTTTCTGGTAAAATATAATACAATAGGTCTTTACCTTGGTATCATGTTCCAAATCTTTACTATTTAGAAGTGCATGATTAATACGAAACACGATCCAGTCAAACAGAGCACTATATAAAGATTTAGCCATGGAGTTTCTCACTGTCACAGCCTATAAAATACAAAGAGAATTATGAATGTAAAGTGAATTAAGATTGCAAAGTGGAATGGTAATAATTTCACTAATATACAATAACAAAGAATGTTTTTGCTTTCATTTCAGAAGGAAAACCTATTCTGAATTAGAAAACTAGATTGTCTGTCAATTTAAATAGCCTATAATCGAAGTTTTCTGTATTTACTCTAATTTAGTCCAACTCAGGAATCTAGAAAAAATTTCCATGAAACAAAAACTATGTATGAATCACTCAATTCAAAGCATTTTTTTTTACTGTCTATGGGGGCATATTTTCTCCCAAACAAAATGGGAAGTCTGAAAACAAATAACTATACCTGTTATAATTGGAGAAAATAGTCTAGGTTATGAAACCTGACAGCAGCCGGGCGGTGGTGGCGCACGCCTTTAATCCCAGCACTCCGGAGGCAGGGGCAGGCAGATCTCTGTGAGTTCGACGCCAGCCTGGACTACAAGAGCTAGTTCCAGGACAGGAACGAAAAGCTACAGAGAAACCCTGTCTCAAAAATAAAAAAAAAAAGAAAGAAAGAAACCTGACAGCAAAAGAGGACATTATAATTTGTAGAATCCTTCTTTCACTCTTAGAATATAGACATTATACTAGCTATCTTCAGTTTGTCATTCAAAGTACTACATAACAGTTTCATTCAAGAAAATAGTAACAAGCCAGGCATTGGTGGCACACAATCCCAGCACTCGGCAGGCAGATCTCTGTGAGTTCGAGGCCAGGCTGGTCTACAGAGGGAGTTCCAGGACAGGCTCCAAAACTACTAGAGACACCCTGCATCGAAAAAACAAAAAACAAAAAAAAGAAAATAGTAACAATCTCTTAATTAGGCAATTATGAAATTTATATTTTATTTCACTTCATTATTTTCTTGATAGAATCCAAGAAATAAAATAAAATGAAAAAGTAATTTTGAAAGATTCCAGGTATCAAAATTGGGTATACACGAAAACAAAAAGTGGGAGAGGATATAAATTAAAGAAAATTCACATTTAGAAAACAGTAAATTCCAGCACTCAAGAAAATAAAGCAGGCATACTGGCATACTATCATAAGTTCGAGGCCAGCATGAATCACAAAGTCAAACTCTCTCCAAAAGAGAGGAAAAAAAAGAGAAACACTTTAGTTTACAAAATTTTTTAAAAATAATTGAGTCCTATCACATAAAAGAATATAAATGCTAATAATGTTTTACTGTTTATATTAACATCTCTGTTTTCAAGTGGTAAGGAAATAAGAGAAGACTACCAGTCAATTTCTGTTTCTGAACTCATTCTAGCTGTATGGACCACACAAGACACTTGAATTACTAGGTTACAGTTTAGATATCTATAAAGTAGAGATATAATATAACACATAACATAAAAGAGATTAACTTATTTATGAATTTCAATAATTTAAAAAAATGTTCCAAGTCACGCATGGTGTAAAGGCCTGTACTCTAGGCATTTATTATGAAAAGATCATGAGTTTCCAGGTTGGTATACCATTGCTGATTTTTAAATATTTATTTATCTGGGAACATATCACTTCCTGGCAGTAAGTACTTGCACCTTTTGAGCTATCTTGCATTCCTTAGCTGATTTTTTAATTGTTCTAAAGAAAGATACCAGATGGATTTGGTTTAATTAGAAAACCCTCGTTAAAAAGAACTGGAGACCTTTTATCTAATACTCTCTTAATGGTACTTAAGAAATAAACTGCAAATGACAAGAAACAGCATGCTCCAAGATAACAGAGAGGAAACACCACATGGTAGAATGTAAATTAATAGAAATGTAATAAATAATTTAAGTTGGTAGAGCTAGTGAGTAAAAAAACCCAAGCTACGGGTCAACCATTTATAATTAATATGAAGTCTCTCTGTCAGTTATTTGGGAACTGGCATCAGGAAAAAAAAGTCTGATCACTAATGAAGATACAACAGCTGCTAAGACACATTATAAAAACTGTATTATAAAAACTGCTGGATTAAACCAACCTATATATTTTTATACATTTTTAAAATGTCTTCACTTCAAAATGGAAGTCAAAAGATAGGTTACTTTGGGGAAGAGGTGACGGGGAACCTCCTGCAGCCAAAGACCTTTAAGACCAGGTTGGAGCGTGAGCTTTTGGGTACCCAGAGAAAACCACAGGCCTGCCCAGCTCTCAACTCTCTTGTTCCGGCATTCCACGCCTTGAGGTTGGACTTCCCATTCCAGTTGTGAGTTTTTCCCTGTAGTAATAAGAGTGGCAGGGGGGCTGCGTCCCCAGCACCCCGGCTGCCTGCCCGGCTAGCTCAGTCGGTAGAGCATGAGACTCTTAATCTCAGGGTCGTGGGTTCGAGCCCCACGTTGGGCGCCAAAATGTAGCGGCGTAAACGAATGCAGACAGATTGTAAAAATATATATAGTTTTAATGTAGAAATAGACTTACAGAACCACCGTTCCCGCGGAGACCAGGAAAGCAGAAGAGACAGCTCGGAGCATGCTCGCCAAATTTATAGGCAGACATTAGCCCGAGGCGAACACGCCCCCTAAGGGGCGGGACTTATCCCTACATTTCCCTTTACAATAAAGAATAATCTTGAAATAATCTTTTAGAGTTATCTTGGAATTATTTGACTCCCGTCTCTCCCTCCCCTTTTTATGCATTCAGATTCAGAGAGGTCATGCTTTTATTTCTATAGGACATGAGAAGCTATGGAATTGTTCCAGGTTAACATGAACCAGGTTTGATCAGGGAAGACCTGGTGAAAATTCTGACTTCAAACATAAAGAAACAAAACTACAAGACATATAACATATGTATTTTACTTGTTAAAAAAACAAACAAACAAACAAAAAACCTTTAACTGACTTGGGCACACCACATATTCCATACTTGTATGCTACTTTTTAAAGTTTATGTATTTGGGGTTGGAGAGATGGCTCAGTGGTTATGAGCATTGCCAGCTCTTCCAAAGGTCATGAGTTCAACTCCCAGCAACCACATGGTGGCTCACAACTATCTGTAAAGAGATCTGGTGCTTGATTCTGGCCTGCAGGCATGCATGCAAGAACAACACTATATACTTAATAAATAAATAAATCTTAAAAGTTTATGTCCTAAAAATGGATGGCCCAGGTGATGCAGCATTTCAAAATGCCTCTGTTATGGTCTCCTCCAAATTCCGCATCCAAAATAGCCTCACGGCTATTGGCTAAGATGGTCCAGCCTCACAGACTATTTTAGCAGTGGTTTAATATCCCAATTAGATTGCTTTTGGTAAGATTGCCATTTTTACTAAGTTAATTCTGCCTACCCAAGAGCATGGAAGATCTTTCCAATTTCTGGTGTCTTCTTTAGTTTCTTTCTTCGAAGATTCAAAGTTCTTCTCATACAAGTCTTCCACTTGTTTGGTTAGAGTTACTCTGACATATTTTATGCTATTTGTGGCTATTGTGAAGGGTGTTGATTCTCTGATTTCTTCCCCAGCCCTTTCATCATCTGTTTATAGGAGGGCTACTGATTTTTTTTTTTTTTTTTAGTTAATCTTGTATCCTGCTACATTGCTGAAAGTGTTTATGAGCTAGGGAAGTTCCTTGGTAGAATTTTTGGGATCACTTATGTAAACTATCATATCATCAGCAAACAGGGAGAGTTTGACTTCTTCATTTCCAATTTGTAACCCCTTGATCTAATTTTTACTTGATAACTGTTTTATTATGTATAATTTTATTATTTAAAGTTAAAAAAACCTGGGGGCTGGAGAGATGGCTCAGCGGTTAAGAGCATTGCCTGCTCTTCCAGAGGTCCTGAGTTCAATTCCCAGCAACCACATGGTGGCTCACAACCATCTGTAATGAGGTCTGGTGCCCTCTTCTGGTCTGCAGGCATACACACAGACAGAATATTGTATACATAATAAATAAATAAATATTTGAAAAAAAAAAAAGTTAAAAAAACCTTCCTTTTTATTTAGACAAAAAATGTTGTGGAATAATCCTTCTATACACTGTGTACCCACATGGCAGCTCAAAAGTGTCTCTAACTCTTGCCTCCATGGTATCTATATACATATGGTACAAAATATACACGCACACAAAACACCCATACAAATTAATAAGGGTTTTTTAAAGATCCTTGAAGAAAAATGAAAGCCTACTGTTTATTTGCTTAGGTAATGAAAGCCTACTATTTAAAACCACACTGAGTTTCTGGTCCAAGAAGGTAACCTGCATATTACCAAAACAGCAATGTAAACACCAAGTCAGCTACAAACCCATTGATCTACAATATTATCATGCCTGCAAGATATGATACAGAAATGGTGGCACAAAGCTTGTGGAAGAAACCAACCAATGTCTAATTTGACTTAACGCCCATTTCACAAGATAGAACCCATATCTGACCCTACTTGTACGACCAAGAACCAGAGGGCAGAGTGTCCAGGAACCTAGGGTAAAATCAAATATACTGATCTAAAATAAACAAACAAGGTGGACAGTTATGACTCACGCCTTTAATCCCAGCACTCAGGAGACAGAGACAGGCAGATCTCTATGAATTCAAGGTAAACCTGGTTTAGAAAACAAGTTCCAGGACACAAAGAAACCCTGTTTCAAAAACCAAAACAACAAAAACCAAACTGAGAAAGTGACTCCTAATGATATTCTGTTATACTTATAGATCAGTACCTTGTTCAGCCATCATCAGAGCTTCCTCCAGCAGCAAATATAAACAAAGAAACTCACAGCCAAACATTAAGCAGAATGAGACACCTTGGAACACCCAGCCCTAAATAGGATATCTCCATCAAATCCTCCTCTCTCAGAGCTCAGGAAACCACTTGGAACAGGAGGTAGAAAGAGTGTAAGAGTCAGAGGGGATGGAAGACACCAAGACAACAAGCCCTCTAAATAAACGTGAGTAAAACTCATATGAACTCACAGAGATTGAAACAACACTCATAGGGCTTGCACAGGTCTACACCAGGTTCTCTATGGCTTTCAGCTTGGTGTTTTTCTGGGATTCTTGAGTATGCAAAGAAATGAGTCTTTGACTTCTATGCCTTCTCTTGGGTTCTTTTACTTCTGCTGGCTTGTTGTGTGCAACTTCGATGTGATAATTTTGTTTTATCTTATTATATTTTATTTTGTTATATTTTCATTGGGGAGTGAAGTTCAATACAGGGTTTCTCTATGTAACCAGCCCTAGCTATCCTGAAACTGGTTCTGTAGACCAGGCTGGCCTCAAACTCAGAGATCTGCCTGCCTCTGCCTCCCGAGTGCTAGGATTAAAGGCGTGTGCCTGGCTATATTTTCATATTAAAATAGACAGACAGACAGATAAAAAACACATTGAATTTTAAGTTTCCAAACCTACAGAAACGTTGTTTTTTTCCTCAAAAGTACACTAATTAATACCTTTTTGCCTAGTGTCATTTTCATTACATAAAAAAGGGAAAAGAAAAAGAAAAAAAACCTACAAACCTTATATTCTAGAGTATTCAAAATACTGATGCCCCAGAAAACCATACCTCTGCCAGCTTATATGGTAAAATAAGTTTTTCTCCCACTGTCACCGTCTTCCTTGTAACTAATGCTTCAAAGAGCATCTCTTCTTTAACCTATAAAGTAGAAAGGTAAATTCAATATGCAAGATTTATGATGGAGACTCAATTATTACACTGAAAAGCTAACTAGAGAAAAATTTTAATGAAAGGAATATAGAGTGAATATAAAGAAATGCAAAGAAACATACACAATCTTAATAATGGCTAAAGGGGAATTTAAGCATACAAATAACAATAATTCCTCCACCTAAAATAGAAGAAAAAAGCAACAAATAGTTTATTTTCAAAGTATGCTTCCAAGTGGAAAGTTTAACTCTAGAGAGCTTGCCTAGCATATGAAAGGTCATGGGTTCTCACCAGTGTCTCACACACACATCTGGGAATAGAGACACAAATCTAAATCTGGCACACTCGTTCTCTAGATTTTACAATCTAAAGATAAGGCCATGGACAAAGGATGAAAGCACTCCTGGAATCTAAGACTCCTGAAGAATACTTTTGTTCTACATTTATTTTTATACATGCATATTAAACTTTCAGATAAAGGTACTACTTTGCTTTTACTCCCATCCCAGAAGTAAATAATATTATATTTATTTGTAACACGGTCTCACTCTGTAGCCCAGGCTGGCTTCAAACTCACGGTGAACCTTCTCCTCAACCTTGTGAGTACTGAGGTTCCAGGCATACACCATCAACACCTGACTGAATTATTTTCTTTTCAAAAGAAAAAACGGAGACTAATAAATGGCTCTGTGGTTAAAAACACTTGCTCTTGCAGAGAACCTTGCTTCAGTTCTGAACACCCATATGTAATTCCAGTTCCAGAGAAAGTTACATCCTCTTGTAAACCTTCGTGGGCACCAGGCACACACATGAATACACACACACACATACACACATACACACATACATACACACATACATACACACATACATACATACATACATACATACATACACATACATGTAAGCAAAACACTAATACACATAAAAGGATTTTCAATACAAATAAAACTGTTATATGCATCTGTATGTGTGCTCTGTGTGTGTGTGTGTGTGTGCACTGTGAAAAGCAGGTCAATGTCAGGTATTTGTTTATTTCTGTAGATCTTCTTTTGTTTTCTAAAACAAGATCTCTCTGTGTAGCCCTGGTTGTCCTAAAACTGACTATGTAGACCAAGCTGACCTTGAACTCTGCCTCTTACTTCTGCATGCTGGGATTTAATGCATGGTCGCCGTGCCTGATTCCACTTACTTTTTCAGGCAGGGTCTGTCAAGGGAACCAGACCTCACTGACTGGTTATACTGACTGACCTTTCTTGGCATCCCCCCTCTCTCACTCTCCCCTCCCAGTAATTGAATTACAGATGCACAAGACCAGTTTTTGAGTGTGTAGATCCAAACTCAGATAAAACAGACATTCCAAATCCCTGAATTTCTTTTAAATTCCCTGAACATCTCTTAACTAACCTCTGACAAAAGAATACTAATTAAGAATAGAATCCCTGTTATTTATGTCTGAGTTTAAAATAGGACTCCAGGCACAATGTCCTAATTTATCATAATACTAAATGTTTGATTAAAATATCTGAAATGCTTGATTGAAATCTAGTCTATGACCTTCAAAATTATAATCTTCAGAGCTGGGCGGTGGTGGCGCACGCCTTTAATCCCAGCACTTGGGAGGCAGAGGCAGGCGGATCTCTGTGAGTTCAAGACCAGCCTGGTCTACAAGAGCTAGTTCCAGGACAGGCTCCAAAACCACAGAGAAACCCTGTCTCGAAAAACCAAAAAAAGGAAAAAATTACAATCTTCGGATACAATGATCTACATCTTGTAGAAATTTATTTCATCTTATTCTGTCATAATATCATTCCATTGAGGTTAAAGCAATGATCAGTCATATATAAAGAAAAAATAATCACTGCAGTTAGATATGAAAAAGAGGTTATCCAATGCTCTCAACTGGCACTATAGCTTTATAATGGACACATACTGGGAAATAACTTTTTCTGTAAAATCTCACCTAAATTATGCCAAAGAGAAGTAAATGGTTCTACATACAATGAATTAGTTTAGGCTTTCTTTCTTTTCTTTCTTTCTTTCTTTCTTTCTTTCTTTCTTTCTTTCTGTATAAGGCATTCTGCCTGCATGTATACCTACACACCAGAAGAGAGCACCATATGTCATTATGGATGATTGTGAGCCATCATGTGGTTAAATTCACTGAGACCTGCCTGCCTCTGCCTCCAAAGTGTTGGAACTAAAGACATGAGGCACTACACCTGGCTTAAAAGGATGTATCTCAAATGCATTACCAAGTAAAATAAGTTCATCTAGAAATAAAATTAACTCTATAATTACAATTATATTGCATGTGAAAATGAAAATTAGGGTGAAGAGGAGTTTTAGAGCAGTGTAAGAGTTCTGTATAAGACTGTAACCATGAACACATGACTTCATCCATTTGTCAAAACCCATTCAGCACAAAAAGTGAAGACACACTATCACTTTGGGAGGAGCAATAGAACAGAGTCTGGTGGCCCTGCAGCGGTGGCACGCGCCTTTAATCCCAGCACTTGGGAGGCAGGGGCAGGCAGATCTCTGTGAGTTCAGGGCCAGCCTGGTCTACAAGAGCTAGTTCCAGGACAGGCTCCAAAAGCTACTGAGAAACCCTGTCTCGAAAAACAAAAACAAAACAAAAAAAAAAAAAACCCCACAAATCCTGTTTCAGGAAAGAAAGAAGGAAGGAGAGAGGAGGTGTGGGAGGGGGAAGGAAAGGAGGGAAGAAAGGAGAAACCTCAAGTTAGAAAGAGCAACATTAACATAACCCCTAAACAATATAGAGTGGAAATATTCATCCTTGTCAACAAACTGAAGGAATGCATGTGTTAAGGGGAAGTGAAGGCAAGGGAGAAAACATTAGACCTAATGATCTTGGCACACTCACAAGTAAAGTAAGGCAGGAATCCAGGAGGAATTTCAACTTCTGAAAACACTATCTTAAAATAGTATCAAATGAAATCATTTTAACCAAGTATATCCATTTATAAGTATAAAGGACATATAAATTAAAAATAAGAAGTTACCAATTATCTAAAATGAAAACCAAGAATGAATGACTCACTTCTAATAATTCTGAGACAATAGGCAGTACTTCAGGATTACAGATGTCAATAGAGTCATCCCGATAGGTCTTCTTTTTATAGGAGATATTACCCAAATGTAGTATTGCTGAGAGCAGAGAGAAAATCCTATGAAAATAAAAGCACAGATTAAAGTTTGCTAAATACATTATCAAAGCTCATTTTACTCCAAATCCAAAACAAATTCCCCAGTACAAATTATGAAGTATTTTCATCTTCACAAAAGAATGGTAATTTTAACTAAACTTTAACGACTATGTCAGTTAATAAATTATTAACAGGAGCTGGAGAGATGGCTCAGTGGTTAAGAGCATTGCCTGCTCTTCCAAAGGTCCTGAGTTCAATTCCCAGCAACCACATGGTGGCTCACAACCATCTGTAAAGAGGTCTGGCGCCCTCTTCTGGCCTTCAGGCATACTTGCAGACAGACTATTGTATACATAATAAATAAATATTTAAATAAATAAATAAATTATTAACATGTAACATGGCATAAAACAAATTTAAAAACGAACTCTCCACTTGTACACTATATCCCATTGGCTCCAGTTGATTCAGGAGTTGTAATGTCTTCATTTCCTACCTCATACTTGGATCTTGAAGAACTTTTTTTTAAATCAAAATACTGCTTATTTCTCTTCTTTTAAATAAATCACCCTAGATTCAACACGTTCTCTTTCTCTTTACAAAAAAGCTTACTGAAATACTAACTCAAACTCCTTGTCGGCACTTTACTATTTGTATTCACTATCATTTAACATCTGCTTCAACTTCGTATGCCTCAGAAGTTACTAAGAACTACTTCCACTTAGCTGAGAAAAAAAAAATCATGCCCTAACTTATCTGCTATTTGAGACATTTAACACAGCTGAACATTCTACTACTTAGTGGTTATTAAGTGGTTGTTGTAGAATCATGAGAATCTGAGTTTGAAACAGAGCACCCACATAACAAACCAGGCTTCCTGGAAATGCCCATAACTCCAGGTCCCAAAAATCCCAATGCCCTCTTCTAGTCTCCTTGCACACCCACATACGCAAACATGTGCACTTGGACTCACAAAGAAGCATACACATGAATGAATGTGTACACACACCTTTTTAAAGCCCTTAAGAGGAGCTGGAAAGATGGTTAGTTCATCAGTCAAGACTGCCAACTACTCTTGAAGAAGACACAAATTCAGTTCCAGCACTCACATCGCATGGCCAGATGTCTAACAAAAGCCTGCAACTCCAGCTCCAGGGCATCAGTCACCCTCTTCTGGCCTCCATGAACACTGCACTCATGAGTACAAACCCACACATAGGCATATACATGTGATTAAAAATAAAATATTTTTAAATATCCTAAATGCATGTATCCATATGCCTATTGATTTACTACTTCCTTAGAATAAATCTAACCTATTCTTAAAACTTATCCATGTGTCTTCTTAAATTTAAATTAAATATTTATAATTAAATTATAACTAAAAATTTGTAGGTTGAAATTTGGCTTTGCAAAATTAGAAAATATTCTAATTAAAATAAAGTTCTTCAAAACCAAATATACTTTTTAAAATATTTATTTACTTATTATGTACACAATATTCTGTCTGCATATATGCCTGCAGGCCAGAAGAGGACACCAGAACTCATCCCAGATGGTTATGAGCCACCATGTGGTTGCTGGGAATTGAACTCAGAACCTTTGGAAGAGCAGGCAATACTGTTAACCACTGAGCCATCGCTCCAGCCCAGAACCAAATATACTTAAAGTATATTTTTAAGTAATTTAAGTGTTAAATAATTTAAGTGTTATTTTTCAAGTAATTTAAAATTAGAAAATACAAGTCAATCCCAAAGGAATAATTGATAAAAGTATTCTAAGATATAAAAAAAGCTCAGAATCTCTTAAACATCATAAAATCTAGAAGTCAAAAATTAACACAAATGTATGACCCAGTTTTCATCTGTTTCAAAAATTGGCACATTAATGTTCTCAAAAATACGTCATACAACTCTTATGCAATAATACCTTAAAAATAACCTAATGTGATAAGTCAGAATTTAAAAGATTTTAAAATATAAACAGGAGTCATGATTTTTTTCTGTCTGTTTTTTGAGAACGGAGTCTCTCTATAATACCCTGTTTGTCCAGGAAGTAACTATGTAGACCAGGCTGGCCTGAAACTCACAGAGATCAACCTCCCTCCGCCTCCAGTACGCTGAGATTAAAAGTCTATGCTACCATGCCACTTGGAATCTTGAGTCTTAAAATGTTTATAATTTTACATTAGAAGATAACACAAATGGTATCTTAAAATATAGAGTGCAGAAAAAGCATAACGGACAAATTTTTTCATTTAATAAAGGCAGGACATTAACAGTTCTTAAAATAGATTTTGTTGTGTATGGTACCAAATTCCAGCACTCATTAGTCTAAGAAAGGAAGATCAGAGAGTCCAAGGTAGGTAGGCCTGAGCTACATAGCATATGCCTATCTATTATAAAAAATTAAAAAAAAAAAACTTTCAACACTGCCAAAATTTAAGGATGGCTACACAGTTATGGAAAACAATTTTAAAGCATATCACAGGAAATAGGAAAGAATGCTACTATTTATTAGCTGAGATAACTGTGGGCACAAGAAAGGAAAGTAGCAGTACACACAATATAGTCTCTATCCAAAACAACACAATATTCTGAATGAGTGGAAAAAAGATAAAAATAATTTCAGATGATAAATTATTTAATGTTCAAAGTACTATGCAATAAAAACTTATAAATATGACCCATAGAGTTAAACTTTTTTCTGTGAAGGAATATTTGAAAAGAAGATAAAAGACAGGGAAGGCTCACACTAAAATTTACTGCTTCCTAAAGTTTACAATATGGGATCCTGTCATACCGAATAATCGTTTTAACACATAAAAAATAAGCACTATATTGCCAAAACTTCCATTTCACTGGTATTTAATATAGAGAGTACACTTCACTCAAAATTATCATGACAAGAAATGTTTGAGGTTTGGAATTTCTCAGACTGTAGAATAGGTCCATGACTTTGTTTTGTACTCCTAATCTAAAAATCCCAAATGCTCCAAAGTCTGAAGAAGTTTGAGCACTGTGTGAATATTCAAGATATTTTAAATTTCAGATCATTTCAGAATTCATCTTTTTTTGTTGTTGTTTTGTTTTTTTCTCTGTATTGCCTTGGCTGTCCTGGAACTCAATCTGTTGACCAGGTTGGCCTTGAACTCAGAGATCCACCTACCTTTGCTTCCTGTGTGCTAGGATTAAAAGCATGTGCCACCACTACCAAGCCAGAATTCAGCTTTTAGCATTAGGGTAACCTACTGAGGACATATTCTCATACTTCATTCAGTTTATATGTCATCCATTCAGGATCACATGCAGTACGTAAGTGACCCTGAGGGAAGAGATTAACAGAAACCTAGGGAGGTTTTCTCCTATATTTGACCTTCAGTGTATTGCAGTAAGTATGTTTGCACATTTATAGATTGTATTGTTTGGTTTTAACTAACTTCTCATAAAAGGAATCCAGAAGAGAATTTTATAATTCAAGAAGCATACCAATACACAGAAAAATAGGTCAGGCTAATATTCTCCTTATTGAAACTCATGACTCAAGAGATTATTCATTCATTACACAACCAAATATGACATATCTTCAACATGAATCCCACAGACACTTCAAAATCAATTATAAAAACAGCTAGATTCAAAAGTGTGCGTTCATAGTTTGAGTTACCTCAGAGGCTAAGGCAGGCCCTTACACCAGTCTGAACAATACATGATATCAAGACCCTGCCTCCAAAACTGAACAGACAAAAGTTATGAAAAAAATATTCCTGCTGGGCAATGGTTGTGCACTTCTTTAATTTCAGCACTCAGAGGCGGAGGCAGGTGAATCTCTGAGTTCAAGGCCAGCCTGGTCTACAGAGTGAGTTCCAGAACAGCTAAGGCTACACAAAGAAACCCTGTCCTGAAAAACAAAAAAGAAAGGGAGGGAGGGAGGGAGGGGGGGAGGGAGGGAGGGAGGGGGGGGAGGGAGGGAGGGAGGGGGAGGGGGGAAAGGAGGGAGGGAGGGAAGGAAAGGAAAAGAAAAGAAAAAAAAAGAAAGGAAAATAAAGGAAAGGAAAAGAAAAGAAAAAAATATTCCTACAGCAGTCAGATGGTGGTGGTGCACACCTTTAATCCCAGTACTCAGGAGGTAGAGGCAGGTGGATCTCTGTGAGATTGTGGCCAGCCTGATCTACAGAGTGAGCTCAGTTCATCCAGGACTACATGGAGGAACCATGTATCTAAAACAACAACAACAAAAAAACATTCCTCTAGGAAGAGACAAGGTTGTATCTTTTAGTTTCTAGAAACACAAATTACTTCATTTTCTAAAACAAATGTTTTTGGTTTATGTATGTTGCTGATCTGTTAATACATGTATGAGGGTGAACACGTAGAGGGTACATGCATGTGAGTCAATGCATGTAGAGGCCCAAGTTAAACATCAGCTATCTTTTATCTAAATTTTAATTTCAACTTTTTATTATTTTATGTGTATGAGTATTTTACAAGCATGTCTATGCAACATTCATGTGGTGCCTGCAAAGGCCAAAAGAGGGCAGCAGATCCCCTGGAACTGGAGTTACAAATGATGGTGAGGAGCCCTACCTATGGGTATTGGGAATTAAACCAGCTCATCTGGAGGAGCAGCCAATATTATTTACTCTGAGCCATCACTCCAGTTCACAGATGTCCTTTCTTATTCTCTGCACCTTGAGGCATATATTGAGGTAAAGTCTATTGGTGAACCAGAGCTTGTCATGTTTTCCATCTTGGCTACAAAGATTTCCTATCTTTGTTTCCTATTCACTGGGATTATAGGGAGGTCATCATGCTCACCAGGTTTTCCTGATGTGGGTTCTGAGGATCTGAACTCTAGCCCTCATTTTTGGACAGCAAGCATTTCATCCGATTAGCCATCTTCATCAGCCCTATTAACATTTTTTTATGTTTCCATTTTGTTTATATTAACATGTATAGAGGTTTTGTGGTTAGTTTGGTTTGCTTTTTGTTTGTTTGTTTGTTGACAATATTGCTGTTAGGGATTGAGTCTATAGTCTTATGTATACAAAACAAGTATTCTACCACAGAGCTACATCCACAGATCAAAATTTTTAACAGAGCAACACACATGTAAATATGCATGGAATGTTGTAGTTTACATAAAGACTAGAAAAAATAGAAGTCTATTTTTTCTTCATGGATATGGCTGCAGGTAGGTTCCATGCTTATGCAAGCAACACAAATTCTATTCAGTGGGTTACAGAAAAAAGAAAAGGAATAGGAGAAAGCTGAAGATAGATGGGATAAAGATATACTGTACATATGTATGAAATTGCCAAAGAAGAAAAATGTCTTTAAAATAACTAAGAGAAATTTCTCAAAGACACATCATGCTTTCTTTTATACTTGAAATACAAAACTATAGTAAATGAATAAAAACTTTAAAACTCACTGTCTCCGTGTCTTGGGGAGAAATCCTACCATTTCCATGGCCAATTGTAAGCGTTCAAAATCATGCCTCAAATCTTCTCCCTCCACTGTGAAGCAATCCTACTTAAGAGAAGGGAGAAAATATATTAAGATTACCTGTTTAAAAACAATGTGAGCCATTCATTAATTTAAGCAGGTTCCTGTGTAAATGATTAGAACTAGTAGAATATTTACACACAGTCAGGCTCATTAAGCCTCTTATATAAGTACAGATAAGCAAAGTAAATACATCTACCAAATATTAAATAGTACCTTTTTTTCTACCATTAGCAATCACCAACACAGGATGTCAAAATGGTGGAGAATTAGTAGCATTTATAAAATATATGGATACCAAGTTTGATTTTAAATAGCACTAAAGAGTTTTTTAGAGATTTAAAACATAAAAGAGAGCTCAAGTCCATACACAGTTAATTTATTCAAATTTTTAACAGGTGTCTATCTTATGTAAAGCCTTGAATTAAAAGCATACAAATACACAAACAAAAAAAGATAATAGACAGTAAGCAGTTGAGAAGTGAAACCTGGATTTATATAATACAAACCAGTTGGTGTTAACAAACAGTAGGTATATGAAGAAAAGATAGAGTGGCAAAAACAAATAAATACATACATCATAGTGATCAACCGAAATAAACAAATTATGCCAAAATTGAAGAATACACATCATGAGCAGGGTGGTGCATGCCTTTAATCCCAGCACTCAGGAGGCAAAGGCAGGAGGATCTCTGTGAGTTCAAGGCCAGCCTAGTCTACAAGAGCTAGTCTCAGGACAGGCTCCAAAATGACAGCGAAACCCTGTCTTGAAAAACTAAAAAAGAAAAAAATACATGTCACATGAATCAATAAAAATACTTATTGAAGGGCTAGAAAGATCACTTAGCACTTAAGAATACTTGCTGCTCTCAAGAAGACCCAAGTTAATTCCTAGTTGACGTCAGATGTCAAATAATCACCTATGACTCCAGCTCCAAGGTATCTGATGTCCCTTTCTGGCCTTAACAGGCAAAGACAAATACATGGTGGAGGAGACAATGCCTGCCAAAACAGACACCTTAAACCACTAAGTAAAACTCCCAGTGCCAGAAATGAGTTACATCTGTTGAGCTGGCCAAAGGGGTCTCATAGAACCTCGTCCCAAACATCACAGGCAATCTGCCAAGGCTATTGGTTACCCTTTACAACTTGATGGCAAGACACTATTGCTGAAGACACCACTTACTTAATATCATCACACATAGAAAAATCAAGCTGGTGTCCCAATAGAAGCTTTATCCTTACTGACTAGAGTTCATGGTACTAGAAGGTACCTTGAACATTACACGAAGAAAAAGTAATCAATATCACCCAGCTACAAACCCTGCAATCTACAACAGTGAACTAACTACCTGCAAGATATACTGGTGCAATAGTGACACAAACATTACATGAATAACCTCTTCTTGACTGGACTTAAGACTGGAACCTGACACTGTTAAAGTGGCAAAGACTCGACAAGTTATGGGTGGGAGAGGGTGTGTGGAAGAAACCGGAGGGGAGGGAGTGGGAACTTGGATTGGAATTTTATAAAATATCTAATAAAATTTAAAAATAAAAAGTTCCTAATAAAAAAATCATTCTCTAATTCAAATAATGCTAGCAAATGTAGAAATGACATTTTTCCACAATACTCTATCAAATTCTTCAGGCATATTGTAATTGAAAAATTTAATACAAAATTTAAAGACCATTTTTGAAGGAATTTTTGGGTTTGTTTGTTTTTTGAGAATTTCACTATGGAGTAAGCTGACCTCAAATCTGCTAAGTAACACAGGCTGGTATAACTTGAGATACTCCTGCCTCAGTCTTTCTGAGGACCATATTACAGGCATGGGGTTCCTTCCATCTTTTTGAGAGTCTTGCTATGTAACCCAAAGTGCAAGAATATAAGAATGTTGAAAGGACCAAAGATCACTGGCAGGAATAAAAGAATTAAGCAAAAAAGAAAAAAATATGAGGGGGGAATAAAAAGAAAATTAAGTGACCTTCTGATGGTCTCAAAATTAGTAAGTAGATGAGCTAGTATTGGGAGCAAGCCAAACAACCTCAAATTTGTAAGCCTTACTTTAACTTTGAAAAAATGAAGACCAATCCACAGTTCCACAGACAAGTCTGAACAAGTCATCAATCATACTTTGATGTAAAATAAATTATACTTTTCTATTACAATTCTTCAAGAAACTACAAATTGAAATATCTATTTCCCAAAATACTAGATCTGAAACCAGTAACATCTTGATCATGAAATGGTAATGTAACCAAACTTTGTCTGAAAGAAAAAAAAAAAACAAGCACCCATACAATATGCTGATGCTTCACAACTCTGGCATAGGGGAATTTTACAATGAGAAAGTTGTGACTCTTTTTTTTTTTAAAGCAGCAAGTGCTCTTTTTTTTTAATATTTATTTATTTATTATGTATACAATATTCTGTCTGTGTGTATGTCTGCAGGCCATAAGAGGGCACCAGACCTCATTAGAGATGGCTGTGAGCCACCATGTGGTTGCTGGGAATTGAACTCAGGACCTTTGGAAGAGCAGGCAATGCTCTTAACCACTGAGCCACCTCTCCAGCCCGTGACTCTTTAAAGCAAAGATTAAGACATGTTATATTTATAGGAAGAATACTTAAGAACTTAATTAGTTAATATAGCTAGATGTAACTATGCTTTCACCTTTGTGTGACCAAACTATAGATGGAAAGAAAAGCCTTTTATCATTTTATACTTACAGATTTGTACTTGCATATAAAACAGTTAAACATAGTCTCTTTCTTTCTTCCTTTCTTTCTTTCTGTTTTTTTCGAGACAAGGTTTCTCTGTACCTTTGGTGCCTATCCTGGAACTAGCTCTTGTAGACCAGGCTGAACTCAAACTCACAGAGTTCCGCCTGCCTCTGCCTCTGAGTACTGGGAATAAAGGCGTACGCCACCACTGCCTGGCTAAACAGTCATTTTCTACCATATATGCCTTATAAAACTGAACTTAAAACCTCCAATAGTCTTCTTTTAAAGTTTCCATTTCTGTGAGATGTATAGATATATATACACATGAATGCAGGGGTCTTCAGAGGCCAGAAGAGGACATAGGATCCCCTGAAACTGAGATATTCAAATTCAGATAGAGGAATTTAAAGGGAACCAATTTCAGCACTGTATTATAAGGCTAAAGAGGAACAGCCTAAGATTTTCAAACAAGCAAACTTAATATATTCAGTAACCTTACAGAAATTGCCAAATGATATAGGCTCCGTAAAAAGCTAATTGGACTCCTGTGCCATCGTTAGATTGAGGAGATTCTAGGAAGTAATAGTTTCATATGGCATGCATTCACCTGTAGTGAAGCAAATGCTAAATTCATGGTCAGTTTGTAATAGAACTATTCCCAAAGACTGGATAGACTTGGTTAAAGCTGTTTTAGAGGCTGGTTCACAATTACAATGGAATATCTGGTTCAAGTGTTTTATGTGGAAAAGGTCTCTGAGTTGATTCTAAAGGGAAAACTGAGATCTTGTCAATTAGCAAAAATAGACCCAGCAGAAATTGTAGTACCTTTTACTAATGATGAAATTGATAAATTAAGGGCAGAAAGTGAACCTTGGCAAAGAGCGTGCAGTAAATTTTTGGGAGAGATTAATAACAAATATCCTAAAGCAAGAGAATTCAACTTAGAGAGAGAACTAGCTGGATTCTTCCTCTCATTGTATGGGAAACACCAATATCTGGAGCCCCTACATTCTTTATAGATGCAAATCAGGAAAGGCAGGTTACAAATCAAAATATGTAAGTGGATCAAAGCCCTTATGACTCTATGAAAAAGTCAGAATTATATGCTATCCTCATGGTCCTAGGAATTTTAAAGAACATCTCAACATAGTTACTGATTCATAATAATATGCAGAAAGGGTAGTTTTAAAAATTGAAACCGCTGAATTTATACCAGATGATACAGAATTGACTTTATTATTTATTCAGTTACAAGAATCATCCCATATACATAAGACGCATCCAATCCCATAAGGGTCTGCCAGGTCATTTAGCACAATGTAATGCAGAAATCAATCAAATATTGATTGGAAATGTGTTGAAAGCCTCAGAATTTCATTTAAAAAAACCTTGCCAATAGCAAATATTGAAAGAAAGACTTTCCCATCAAGACAAGGAAATTATAGGCAATGTCCTACCTGTTCTTTATACAACCAAACAACACTACCTGCACGAAGTAAGCCAAAGGGTACTTAAAGGAATGAAATCTGGCAGATGGATGTGTTCTATTTGGTAGAATTTGGAAAACTAAAATATGAACACCACACCACTGACACCTATTCAGGCTTTCAATAAGCAATTGCTCTGAGTTCAGAAAAGGCTGACTGGATAATCACACATTTTCTAGAAGTTATGGCCACCATAGGTATACAGACAGACATGTCTCGAACATGTCTCTAAGAAAATGAAGCTGTTATTTGCTTATTATAATATAAAGCATACTAGAGGTATACCACACAATCTTACAGGCCAGGCAGTTATAGAAAGATCAAATCACACTCTAAAGGATATGTTAAATAAACAGAAAGAGATGATAAAGACGCCCAGAAATAGACTGCATAATGCTTTACTAACTGTGAATTTCCTAAATGCTAGGGAGAAGAAACAACAGTTATGGAGAAACAATTGGATAGTAGAAAAAACTACAGAATTAAATTATCCAGTATATTTTAAAGATGCACTGACCTTAAATGGAAATCAAGACATGTGCTATGTTGGGAAAGGGGCTTTGCTTTTGTGTCCAAGAAAGAAGAAAAGCTATGGATACAATCAAAATTGATAAAGATTCAATCTGAACAAGAGACACTTCATAATTAGAAGAGATGATGATAGTTCATCAAACATCATAACTTTTTAATCTAAACTAACCATAAAACTAACAAATGCTTTTCATTTGATCAGATATAACTTGCCAAAAGACAATTTCCCCAGAATTAGGGTTGGGAAAGAGTTTGTTTCTGTCTTTTCAGGAGAGCAAAGGCATCCAGCTATGGAATCCAAAGACCACTGGACAAATAAGACATCTAAAGAAAAAGGACAAATTATCCAGAAAAAAAGTACCAAGAAAAAGAATGAATTGGACTATTAGTATATCACATTTTCAATAGAATAAAATTTCATAAATCTTCTCAAATGTTTGTTACTGCTGTTCTCTACAGACATATAATGTAAATGGTCTTTTTGAAGTCCCAGTCCAGTTAGAGATTAAAGCTGGTTTTGGAGTTGGAGTGTGGTTCTCTCCTTCTTTAAATCCAAGCAAGCTTATTCAAGTAAAATTCAAAATCTCTGTCTCATGTCAGAAAAGCCACCTGATATGGGACAGAAGAAAAACAAATGACTATTTTATTGCCACTAATCTCATAATCCTTTGGTTCTATATTGACTCTTTAACAGCTTTTCTTAAGATATAAATATCATCTCAGGGTTTTTTTTTTTTTTTTTTTTTTTTTTTTTTGGTTTTTCGAGACAGGGTTTCTCTGTGGCTTTGGAGCCTGTCCTGGAACTAGCTCTGTAGACCAGGCTGGTCTCGAACTCACAGAGATCCGCCTGCCTCTGCCTCCCGAGTGCTGGGATTAAAGGCGTTCATCTCAGGGTTTTGTTTTGTTTTTTTGTTTTGTTTTTTGTTTTTCAAGACAGGGTTTCTCTGTAGCTTTAGAGTCTGTCCTGGAACTAGCTCTTGTAGACTAGGCTGGCCTTGAACTCACAGAGATCCACCTGCCTACGCCTCCAGAGTGCTGGGATTAAAGGCGTGCTCCACCACCGCCCAGTCTCATCTCAAAATTTTTAAGGTATATATATATCTTTTTGTTATGATATTAATGGTCATACAGAATACTAATTTTAGAAAAAGGTTTCATCCACCTTAATGTACATGATTTTAGGTTTGAGTCTCTATCAGTTTTCTACAGTGAACCATGAGCCCATCTAACAGAGACCTTAAATGTCTCCAAAAGGAGGATGGGACCCCAAAACGGTAATTCTTTCAGGACTATGATGATAATACCACTATGGTGAAAAACACCAACTAAAGGTCGGCTTTGAACTACAAACTGCTCAGAACATTTTCCAGGTGGCTTAGCTGAGATGGTCCAGCCTCACAGACTACTCTCACCAGGACTTGAGTCAAGCCCTCTGCTTCACCATTACACAGAGACTGGACAACAAATGATACAACTACATCTCCCAGGACTTGACAATTAACCCAAATTTTTCTTTTCAGAAACCTCTAAAGATGCCAATGGCCACAGACAACAGAAAGTAAATTTAAGAAAACAATGCCCATATTCCCAAGAGGTGGTGTGGGTGGTTTTTGGTCTTTCATTGGGTTATGGGTATTCGTCATTGTTTAGAGTCAAACTGCCATTGGTAATGGTCAGGAAAAAAGCTAAACAAAGGAGATAAGATTCAAGCTTCTTGGTTAGAAAAGAAAAAAGATACAGAAACAATAGGATAAGTTATTGAATCTACTCATAAAATAAAAAGGGGACAATATAGATATATAAGATAAAAAGGTAGATTATTGAAAGCTGGGCAGTAGTGGCACACGCTTTAATCCCAGCATTCAGAAAGCAGAGACCAGTGGATCTCTGTGAGTTCTAGGCCAGCCTGGTCTACAAGAGCTAGTTCCAGGACAGGCTCCAAAGCTACAGAGAAACCATGTCTTGAAAAACCACACATACAAAAAAAGATAGGTTACTGAATCTATCTTTAAAAAGCAACTACTAGTTTTAAATATTTTATAATGGATTGGACTTTTGTATATTGCATACAAACTTTATATATTGATGCAAATTCGAGATTAATCTTGTTAAAACATTCTGTACATAGGTTTCTAATCTTGTTTAAGGTATTGTACCTCTACAGCTCATTTAACAATGTAATACAAATTTCTAATTCTTGAACATTATTATTACAAACTGTTTAGGATAATAAGGAAATGCACGTTAGTAATTAGTCACCTATTATAATTAAACTTGTAGTCATATTAATTATGTTTTCATGGTCAAACAGATTTTTTTAAAGTATTTATTTATTATGTATACATGTACACCTGAAGGCCAGAAGAGGGCACAAGATCTCATTATCGATGGCTATGGGCCACCATGTAGTTGTTGGGAATTAAACTCAGGACCTCTGGGAAAGCAGCCAGTGCTCTTAACCTCTGAACTATCCCTCCAGCTCCAGAGATATATTTTAGATAGATACATCATCTTCAAATACTTCAGAGATCTACAGAATAAGGCATTTAAGATGTTTTAATAACATATGTTTTAATTTTATGACAATGAGACGTGTCTGCTACTGGCAGCACCAGTCTACTTCAGAGAATAAGATGGGCATCAAAGCAATTTCATAAAGATTTTACTTTCTTTGTGGCAAATGTAAGCCAATGGGCAAGAAAATGCCATTACCTCTAATGCTAACAATATGCTTTCCTAATTGGAGAATAACTGCCACGCCTTGTCAAGACAAGGTGGGACAGACTTTCAAAAATCCTGCTTCACAGAAAAGTCTGCCAAGTATTCTAGGCCTTGAGGCTGACGATGGAGCCCCATCACTGCAGAGGAACTATGGCTGGCTGTCCAGGCAGGCAGCTGTTTCTGTCATTTCTCGCATTTTTGGAAGTTGTTTACTCACTCTTCCTGTTTACTCTGCTAATATTATTTCCTTCTTGGGTTTCTGAGGGAGTTAAAGGTTAAATAGTTATAGCTATAGTTTTTCTTGTTTACAAGACTCAGAAAAGAAAAACTCCCTAAAGAGGTGTAAAGTATAAAAGGCTGACAGACATTAAGAGATAATCTGATAATACAAATTTAGAAAGTGAATTAGGTACAACCTTTTGGACTCATTAAGATAAAATAGATAGAGATTATTTTCTCTGAATTTGTCAAATGCAAACGGACTAGACATTGATGATGTACTTATTGCCTATATATTGTATAGTTATTTTACACACTGCATAGTTTTTCTTATATTATCTACAGCCTTCTTTATTTTACACAAAAAGGAGAAATACAATAGTTTTAATATATAAAGCTTGCCTGAAGACCTATATTCTTTATGTTTTAATAAATAAAGCTTTGCCTGAGGGCAAAACAGCCATACTAGTCAACCATACAGGCAAGGCAGTGGTCGTGTATGCCTTTAATATCAATACAAGAGAGGAATTTTAGATAGAAAGAGAGGTCTCATTTTCAGTCTCAGTCTGAGGATTCACAGGGGCAGGATAGCCCATTTCAATCTAAGGTAGAGGTTAGAGCTACTGCCTGGCCACTTTACTTCTCTGATATTCAGCTTGAACCCCAATATCTGTCTCTGGGTTTGCACTACAAGAGATTCGTTATATGAAAAATATTAAGACCCAAAACAGAAAACATATATTTACACATGGAGATCATAGTTTTACATCAGCTGTCATCCCCTATCATCCTCTACCTTATATATTTGCGACAGGGGCTCTCACTGAACTTAGAACTTAACTGTTTAAGCTAGACTATTTAGCCAGAGAGCACCTGAAATCTGTTTTTAAACACCTCACCTGCACCACACCCAGTTTTTATATGGGTACTAAGAATCTAAACTCAAGTGTTCAGTCTTCTGCAAGAAGCATTTCCTCCAATGACTTATCTCTGTAGCTCCCAAAGAGTAATTTTTATTTTACTCATATGTGCATATACATGTGGATGTGTGCACTCAGAATTAGCACTACATTACCTGGAACTGGAGCTACAATTCATAAGCCACTTAACATTGGGTGCTGGGAAACAAATTCTCATACTCTGGAAAAGCAGCAAGCAATATGAACCACTAAGCTATCTCTATAGCTCCCTAAAAAGTAATTTTAAAAAATAAATATCAGTTGGGTGGTAGTAGTGTACGCATTTGATCCCAGCACTCGGGAGGCAGAGGCAGGTGGATCTCTGTGAGTTTGAGGACAGCATGGTATACAGAACTAATTCCGGGATATGCACCAGAGATACCTGTCTCATAAAACAGAACAAAACAAAACAAAAGAATCAAGCTAGGGATGAAGCTAAATGGCAGAGTGTGGATAGCAGCCACACTGCACCCAAACAGAACAATAAAAACCTCAAAGGAAAAAAAAAATACTAAAGTTAAAGAGCTACTCCAGTGCTAGGCAATCACGGATGTAATCAATTTACTGTTTGTGAAAGTGAATGTTAAATAAAGATTAAACATTAGGCTTAATAAATTGGTCTATAAACAACAAACTTTTACACACAAATCAATCATTCAAAGTAACTAAAAACTAGTGATCCTCTTTCCTAGCCCTCTTGGCACATCAGCTCATCTTCATGCTGACTTATCAAGATGGGTGGAAATGAGCAATGTGAAGTCCCTTTAACAGGAACAAAAAATATTTAGGTACTTGTACTGACCGGCTCAGAATCATAGCAATAATCATCCCAGCTCTGTCTTAGGGGTTTCTTTGTTATCTGAAAGTTAAGGCACATTAGTTAGGTAGAAGTTTTAGGAAGAAATTATACTTCTTATAATGATCTCTAAAATGCAGTATTCAGAAAGCAAGACTACTTACTATCCAAAGAACAGTTATTTTGCATGGTAACATACACTAATAAAAATAAAATAAATGTTTAGATTACAGGAGATCATATATTATTTTATTCAATTTATACATGTCATTGCCCATTGGCTCTGATATTTGTATTAACCACTGAGTTCCTTATCCTGTAAGTACTGACATTATGTATGTCATAGCCACAAAGACTCAGGACTATAAAATTCTGTGTCAGTAAAATTATCATCGCATATAAGTGATTATCATCTATTTAAAGAAAATATTCATAAGAGCTGAATTTGTAATTTTTAAAAATTTGTACAGTAAAATTTTCTAGCATTCAAACAGAAAGTGATGTAACTTCTAAGTTCTTGATCTATTAAAACAAAGTTAAGATGGTTTCTATTAATATAAAGTTTTAAAGTTAAAAAATACCAACCAGGTAGAGTACACTGTACATTTGAGAAGTCCATGACATTACTTTCATTATCTTTAATATAGAATATTGATGCACTCAAGTCTAAATTAAATGGAAAAAACTTTTTCATTGCCATAAAGGCCTTTTTCCCATGAATATTATATTTTGTGCCAAACAAAAATGAGAGGTTGCTTTATTATTTAAATGATCTAATATAGTAACAATTCCACTAAAAATTGGATTTGTATTTGGAATTTTAATGAGAAATAAAAATAGAGAAATGAACATCATGAAAATTTGTGAAGATCACTTCTCATCACGGAAGCTTAAAGCTGAATTCTAAATTTAAAGAAAGATATAGTCTCTAAATCATTTGGCTTTGAGGAATTCACGATAAAGGCCTCAAAATCATGGTAATCCTCCTGCCTCAGCATCCCAAATTCTGGAATTACCAGAATGAGCCACCATGCCTGGCTTCCCACAAAATGTTTAAGAGAGCTGTTCATTTAAATTATACAGTGATACTCTGTATCAGTATCCACAGCATGCAGACATATGCACATTAGATTGTAAAACCTGCAAATCAAGTTTAAAGCAATCTCTTGGCAATAGATAAGGATTAGTCACCAGTTACACTAACATCCTGAGGTATGTAAAAGTAAGTCACAATAGACAATGTAAAATTTTTCTGATAAGAAAAGTACTATGAAACAACTTAATATTCTTAAAAGAATCTCACAAAATGCATGAAGAACATATTTAATTTTTTACCACTTATATGAAGGATTAATCATTTTTAAATCTGGAAATTGGCCAGGTGGTGGTGGCGCACGCCTTTAATCGCAGCACTTGGGAGGCAGAGGCAGGCGGATCTCTGAGTTCGAGGCCAGCCTGGTCTACAAGAGCTAGTGCCAGGACAGGCTCCAAAGCTACAGAGAAACCCTGTCTCGAAAAACTAAACTAAAATAAAATAAAATAAAATAAAATAAGATAAAAAAAATAAATCTGGAAATTATACTACTTAAATTTTAGACTGCCTACATAAAGGTACTGATTAACATCCATTATCAGATTTGAGAAAAAAATCATTAAAAAACGTTTTCAGTAACTAAAATCTAATCATTACCTACATTTCTAAGTAGGTTTCATGAACTCTCACCTGATTGAGATAATGGTACTCCTCAGGCTGCTTAAGATGAAATGCTAACCTCTCTTCTTCACTTGCTCCTGCGAGGAGGTAATAGAATACATGATAGTTCCTGTTGGGAAGAAAGCATATAATGAACATGACTAATTATGGTTAGTTTTTTGTTTGTTTGTTTGTTTTGTTCTGTTTTTAAAGAACACATTACTTAGTACAATGTTTGATTTACTTTGTATTTTTAAGGCAACATAACAAATTCAACATTTTGCATGTCTACAAAATTGAATGTAAAATACAAAAAAAAGGAGAACAAAAGCAGTAAAATGAGAAAGTAAGGGCTTTCAAAAATTGTCTTCTCTAAAAGTAATGGGGAAAAAACCTCACAAACTGGACTGAATTACTCTTTCAGAGCTCTAAAATTAATCAGGAAGCTGAGAGAGAGAACTGCTATGAGCTCAAGCCAAGCATGGGCTACATAGTAAGTTCCAGACCATCATGTGCTAGACCAAAACCTGTCTCAAAAAATTCGAACAAGGGGCTGGAGAGATGGCTCAGTGGTTAAAAGCATTGCCTGCTCTTCCAAAGGTCCTGAGTTCAATTCCCAGCAACCACATGGTGGCTCACAACCATCTGTAATGAGGCCTGGCGCCCGCTTCTGGCCTGCAGGCATACACACAGACAGAATAATGTATACTAAATAAATAAATAAAAATAAAATTCGAACAAGCCAGGTGGTGGTGGCACATGCTTTTAATCCCAGCACTCGGGAAGCAGAGGCAGGCTGATCTCTGTGAGTTCGAGTCCAGCCTGGTCTACAAGAACTAGTTCCAGGACAGGCTCCAAAGCTACAGGGAAACCCTGTCTCGAAAAAACAAACAAAAAAACTATAACAAATTACCAAGAAAAACAAAGAAAAAGTAAGGAAGAAAGAGATGTGGGGAGGGAGGGAAGGAGGGAGGGAGGGAGGGAGGGAGGGAGGAAGGGAGGGAGGGAGGGGAGAGGGAGGGGGAAGGGGGAGGGATGAGGGAGGGGGAGGAAGAGGGCGAGGGATGAGGAAGGGGGAGGGAGAGGAGGAGGGATGAGGAAGGGGGAGGGATGAGGGAGAGGGGAAGGGGGAGGGAGGGAGGGAGAGGGGGAGGGAGGATGGATAGGTAAACAGATAAGGAAGTAAATGGATAAACTAAACCCAACAAGCAGAAGAAAAGCAATTAAGGGGTCACAACATTAGGAAAGTTGAGAACTGCTGTAAGGTTTTCCTTTTAGGTCTAATTTATAGTTCCTTAAAATGAGATGAAAGTTATTCCTCGCTATAATTTCTTGCAAAAGCTTCTGAAAAGATTGAGTCACATGTACTTCATAACTGTAATTTTGCTACTGTTATGAATCATAATGCAAATATGTGTTTTCCTATGGTTTTGGGTGTCATGACTCAAGAGTTTGAGAACCACTGTCTTAGAACATTTTATCTTATGAATACAGACAGAAAAAATCAGCACCAACATAACAGCAAACCAAATCCAGAAACACATAATATAATACAGAGAAACAAATCTGTTAAATAAAGCAATCAAAACAACAATCAGATTGTAAACTCAGTATTGTCACTTCAAATTCATTCTCTAACACAAGAAATCAAGATTATATCCCCACTACTCTATTATAATGTTCAAAAAACCACACTAATTACTAATAGCGGAAACTGAGCCACAGCTTTGTGAATGTGTTCTAGTAAGTATACCTACAGCCTTCTTCTACATATTCAAACATCTCTAATAAGGATCCTCTCTTATTTCTGCTACACACACACACAAACCACTAAATTCTTAACCTAATCCTGACATTAATTCTTTTTCATTATGTAATTAATCAATAATTTATGAGCCTTTATTACATATAAGGACCATGTTAATCATGTTATAGATAGTCCTTCAAAACCAGATATGATGTCCTACACCTTTATTTTCATCACTTGGGAAGCAGAGGCAGGCACACTGCTTTGCATTTAAGGACCACCTGATATACACAGGGAGTTCCAAGACAGCAAAGGCTACATAGTAATACCCTTCCTTAAAAATAAAGAAGCTGGGGTGGTGGCTCACACCTTTAATCAGGAGCACTCGGGAGGCAGAGGCAGGCAAATCTCTCTGAGTTGGAGGCCAGCCTGGTCTACAAGTGCTAGTTCCAGGACAGCTAGGACTGTTACACAGGGAAACCCTGTCTAGAAAAACCAAAATAAATAAATAAATAAACAAACAAACAAATAGGGAAATAAATAAGGAAAACAGATGGTCATGGTGCCACATGCCTTTAATTCTAGCATTCGGGAGGCAGAGGCAGGGAGAACTCTGTGAGTCCAAGGCCAGCCTGGTCTACAGAACAAGTTCCAGGATGACCAGGTCTGTTATACTGAGAAACTCTGCTTCAAAAAATTAATTATTTTTTAAACCTATTATTTCATTTAGGCCTTGAAACACATTCAGAATGATTTTAAGTACATAAGAAAAGTGAGATCAAGGTGTGCATGAGAGTTCAGGGCTATTTAACTTCACACTCCAGGTCATACATAACTTTACTGCTAGCTAACATACTGACATATGAAGCAATTAACTTACCTCCCTAAATTTCTTTATCTGAAATATATAACATGTTTCATTTCTAAAGTTCCACGTACCTCAAATATGACAATGGAACTAAGAGCTTTTTCTGAAAACTCACTGATTTTGGAGAAAGGGTCTAACACTATAGCCCCAAGTTGACATGGTACTTACTATATACCCTAGGCTAGCCTTGAACTCAGGGTAATCTTTCAGCCTCAGCTTCCCAAATACAGGAATTACAGGTGTGAATCAGCACACCTACCTCATAACTACTTTCAAACAAAAAGAACACTAAGAAATATAAGAAAGACCCATGTCTTTTTTTTTTTTTTAAGTTTTTCGAGACAGGGTATCTCTGTAGCTTTGGAGCCTGTCCTGGCACTAGCTCTTGTAGACCAGGCTGGCCTAGAACTCACAGAGATCCGCCTGCCTCTGCCTCCCGGGTGCTGGGATTAAAGGTGTACGCCATCACCGCCCGGCAAGACCCATGTCTTATAAAGGCAGATGGTTCAAGGAAGAATGAGTTTATCACCCGAAAATCTACTTTCCTGTTCTCAATTTATTTAGAACTGAGAAAGAATAACAGTTCTGCATATCCAATAAAAATCTCCCAATCGTCTTGAGCATTCTGCCCCCGCAAAAAAAATAGCAGTTACATACAAAACTTATGTATGATATCAGTGAATCTAAAAGGGAATTTTTGTGATTCTGTGAAGTTGATCTAATTATATAAATAAAAATATATACCGTTCATTATGCTCTTGATAAACAAGTCTAGATTTCTCCAGTAGATACTTTTCAACATACGCCCTGGAAGAAAATAAAATTGGTTGATATAAATAATAAAAATTGGTTTAGATAAATAAAGTTAATATATGATAGATTTTATTATTTAAAAAGTTCAAAAGTATAAAGAAGCATTCTCTAGATGACAGCAGTAATTTTACCATTATAATTTATATATATATTAGCTTTATCCATGTTAAACTTAAAAAAAACCTACCTATATCATCAAATGACTAGAGAATGAGATAAGCAGGTGAACTATATCAAAAGTAAATACACAACCAAAGCCCCATTTCAAAAAATAAAAACTAACCAAAATCATAACACTAGTAATCAGGAACACAATGACCTTATGAATATGAATCCAGGTCTGATTTCACTACCACGGCTGACTTTCAATTTCACTACTCCCTAGATATCTCGTTTTCTTCCAAACCAATCCATGAGGTCTAATGGTACAAAAGTTACCAGTTCAGAGAATGAGCTAGTCATACTATGCCACTACATTCACCTGCTCACCACAGTGCTGGGCACATTACATGTGTCTGAAACTCTATTTAAAACCAGAATATAAAAAGAAGTAACAGATGAATTAAATATTGTTTAATCTATCTTGAACATCCTTGTTCTATTTAATTTTTTCCTCTATTTTTGTGTATACCTGACTTTTTAAATAAAATAAAATTTACTTCATATGTCAAGAAGATAATTATAATTATTAGCTTTATATTCAACTTGACCAAACTGACCACTATGATCATGCAATTACCACTTTGTCTTGCCTCCTCAAATGCAACAAGCTCTTGTTATAACCATTACTAGAAATAATTCCTCACTTCATAAAATGATTTTCCAGTCCTTCTACTTGGCAATTTTTTAATATATATATATTTATTTATTTATTATGTATACAATATTCTGTCTGTGTGTATGCCTGCAGGCCAGAAGAGGGCACCAGACCCCATTACAGATGGTTGTGAGCCACCATGTGGTTGCTGGAAATTGAACTCAGGACCTTTGGAAGAGCAGGCAATGCTCTTAACCTCTGAGCCATCTCTCCAGCACCTTGGCAAATTTTTAATATGCAACATAAATACCAACATTATTGAGAAAGCCTCCAGAAACAGTTTAAACAATAAACTGATCTCATTTACTCTAATCAACTTGCATAAATATCTATTTTCCCAATAACCTAATGAAAACAAAGAAAAAATATGCTTATAAGTTTGTTTAACCTTCAATATTTAGAACAAAGCCTGATGCTCAAAATGCCCCCCACAAACACATGCTTAAAAAATAAAATAAATAATGCAAAATACATACATATGTTTTTATTGTTTTTTTCACCATAGGAAAAAAAATGTTTAAATTTTTTAGGCAGTCAACAAAAGAGCCTGCATTTCCTTCCATAAAGGAAACTATACATCAACTTTCTAATTCACAAAACTGTCTTAATCAGTGAAGATATACACTAACACCTTCAAGGTTAAAAAGCAATGTATATAACTCTACTTATTGTCATTCTTCTTTAAAACACAACTAAAAGCCTAACTCCTACTTTAAGGAGGAAAAGTACCAACCGGGTCTTTGAAACCTGGTACTAAAAATCAAGAAAAGAAATGACCTATGAAACTACCATTGAACATCTGTGGACTTCTGTGATTGCTGATGATGCTGGTTTTAGGTTCTTCTGACAGGTCAAAAGGTTGTATACACAATAGTTTTAAACTCCTCTTTTTTTTAATGCAGAAGTAAGACTGAGTTAAAATTTAAATAGCATAAAAAGTATAGACCAGTCTACTTATTAATAGGAATGCAAAAATCATAATAAAAACCATCAAAGAAAAATAACAATTTATGTTTTTGCATTTATGTATGTGTGTATTTATACTGACCAAGTGGAACTATTTTTCCAGGAAATCAAAAGAGCTCAGTATTAGAGAGAGAAAACTGTAGTATCAATATATCTCAGAAGGAAGACATGTTTATCTACATATATCCCAAAACACTTTTGATAAAATTTAACTTTAAAAAAACAAAAAAGGAAAAAAATTTTAACTTTAATGAATAATAATAACAAACGCAAAGAATTAAAATCAATAGTACTAATAATTCTTTAGCTAGAGTTTTACTTAATGTAGAAAACAGTATTAACATAAAAGGCAAAAATAATATTACAGTGGTATCTGTAATGGATTGGCTTTTAAATATCCCTACAAAAGCTGAATCACCAGTCTATAGTACTAGTAGGGAGGAGGCTGGGCATCGCTGGAAGAAAATTAGGTAATTAAAGTGTGCCCTAGTGACGGATGCTGATCCTCCCTTGCCTCTCTCTACTGTGCTTGCTTTCTAGCCACCATGTGGTTATCACCATTCCGTCTGTCCCGCAACACCAGCAATGACACTCTGTCTTGCCATAGATTCACAAACAAGAGCCAATTAATCATGGATTTATACTTTTACAACTAACTGTAAAACAAAATAAAAATCTTTCCTCTTTTATCTTTGGTATTTTACCACAGCAATGGTAAGCTGACAGTTACATTTCCCATTGTGAAGCAGAATACCTTACAGAGAATGGACAAGGAAGGAAAGAAGGAGAGAGGGAGGGAGGAAGAAAGGAAGCAAAGATGGAAAGACAGAAGAATGGATGAAAGAAAAAGACGACAGACAGAGAGACAGACAGACAGGCAGGCAGGCAGGCAGGCAGGCAGACATGCAGACAGAGACTAAATACAGAAGGAATGATTTCACTTTAACTCATGGTTCAGGAGACAGTCCATCATAACAAAAGTGACTCAATCCATGGTAGTAGGAGCTTAGAGCTGTTTGTTACTGTTCTCAGCAGAACCCAAACCAGAGAGCTAGGGCCAAGAGTGGGGCTGGGATAGAATCCTAAGATTAGCCCGAAGTGAGGCACTAATCTTTTTACAAGTATTGTAATATGGCTTGAACAATCAAGACAAACAACAATAAAGTACAAACCATCCATCAAGACACCATATGTAAAACTATAAAAACCAATAGCTACACATACGTACAAACAATAGCAGTAAAAAAATAAAATGTAGAAAAAAATCATACTCATAATAAAATACTTAAATATAAACTCAATCAAATATGACAAAAAAATTTAAGTACTCCTAAAGAGTACAACACATCATCTCTAAAATAATTGAAAATGAAAACATTGAATTAATGAAAGCAAGTAACAGCTATAGGAGAACCTTAAGTACACAGTTAGGTTAAAGAATTCAACTGAAAAAGCTACAAACAATATGATTCCAACTGTACATTTTGGAAATGGTGATATGGAGACTGGAAAAGCTCACAAAATTACCAAGACCTAGAAAGTAGCAGGGCTGAATAAGTCAAACACAAAAGACTAGCACAGTAAAACTATGCTATAGTACTAAAATGGAGACTGTAAATAGCATCTCTACATTTCTCAAAACCAACAGGATGTACAACACAATCAGCAAACTTCAGTTCAAGTTATGGATTTCACAATTAATAAATCTGCAGCAACAATGCTGTCATCAATTTTAACAAACAGACCATACTAATACAGATGTTTGTAACAGGGGTAGCTATGCTAAAACGAACGGAAATGATATATGGGAACTCTTTAATTCCCGCTTCCTTCTGCTGTGACTCTGAAACTGGTCTAAAGAATACCCTATTAATTTTTTAATCTATAAAATATATTGCTGGCACAATCAGATGACTAATCATAGGAAATGTATGGATTTCTACTTTACCAAAATTAATACCTTGATTGGAAGAATAATAATATACATATGTAGAAAGTGTGATTATGCTGGAAAATACAATAATTAAAGAAACATTTTCTGATCTGAAAAATTTTGAAGATTTATAATATAAACATAAATTCATGTAATTGTTAACAGTTAACAAATATAAGTTAAGGATGTCAAGAATTATGATTAGTATTAACAATTTTCTCAGTTTGAACCCTCCAAAAAGGAAACAATTTTTATGCAGATACCAATATAATACATAGATTATGAAACAAGTAATAACTAAAATAAAAATATGCTTCAGAGGATGACAATATAACTCAGCAGTTAAGAGCACTGGCTGCTCTTTCAAAGGATCTGGGTTCAATTCCTAGCTCTCACATGGCAGCTAACAACCATCTGTAACTCTAGTTCCAGGGGATCTGATGCCCTTTCTTCTGTCCTCCAATACACTCCATGCATGTGGCATACACATACACAGAAAATAAAATAGATCTTAATACATATACATGTATGTACCAAACATGTACATATGTATGTGTGTACTTTATATACATGTATGCTCATATTACGAAAATGTATTGCTTCTAACTGGCAGTACTTACCCAAGTACAGTGCCTGTTTCTTGGTAATTTACTTGAATAAACTTGCCAAAACGACTTGAATTGTTATTATGAGCTGTCTTTGCATTTCCAAAAGCCTGTCAAAATAAATACTGCTTTTATTTAAAAGTAATTTTTAAACATTGCTTTAATACTAAAGAAAAACAATAAGGCAATTTATTTATATCTTTAGAATCATTCATATTTGAGGTAGAATAAAGTAAAGAAAAGGCTGGGGGGAAAAGTAGATTTTCAACTCATACTAATTCAGCAAAATGAATCTCAAGTTTTAGAATCTAATATATACAACTAAAAAAGAAACCTCAGTTGTTAAGAGCGCATGCTGTGCAAGCATGATCTGAATTCAGATCACAACACTCCTGTAAAAAGCCCAGCATGACGATACACAGCACCCATAACGCCAACACAATAGGTGGACAGAGAGGAGGAAGGCTGAGGTTTCTTGGCCACTTCAACTAGTTCCAGATTTAGTGAGAGACCCTATCTCAAGGGATAAGGTGGAGAGTGACAATATAGAACCATGTCCTTGTCTGATCTCCACTTCTAGGTCTACAGGTTCTGGTACCTACACACACGTGCATACAACACACATTCATATATACACAAGATTATTAAAATAAAAACACGTTTCTTTAACAAACACCCAGGCAACTTCACAGTCAGAGGAGCCATAGCAACAGCCACATTTGTAGGCATCAGAAGTACCTAGGACGCTGAGATAATGGAGATAATGCTGATGGTAGAAATCAACACAGGACCAAAAACAACAAATATCATCAGATAATTTTAAGTAGAGAGGAACCAGAGCTTCTGCCTAACTGCCAACCTTGGGAAACTGTGGCCACTGGTCAGTGAGCAATGCTGATGGATGGGTAAATGTCAAAAACAAGACTGGGGCTGGCTCCAACACAGATGTGATGCTGCTTAAGTCATCTGTGGTCATGAAGACCAAATGCTTATGTAGAAGAGCTGAAGAGAAAATTAAAGGTGGGGCGTGGGTTGTTTTATTTTTTATTATGTTTTGTTGGTTTTTTGGAGGGGATGTAAAAGTGTGCTGGTGGCTTGAAGCCATATAAAGAGGTTCATTAATATTAACAATTTTTTTTTTGATTTTTCGAGACAGGGTTTCTCCGTAGCTTTTGGTTCCTGTCCTGGAACTAGCTCTTGTAGACCAGGCTGGCCTCGAACTCACAGAGATCCGCCTGCCTCTGCCTCCCGAGTGCTGGGATTAAAGGCATGCGCCACCACCGCCCGGCACAAATTATTTTTAAAAAGACAAATTTCATTCATCGAGATGTCTTCATATTCCAGAGACAATTCTTTTTTTAATTATTTTTATTGAGTTATATTTTTTTCCATTCCCCCCCTTTCTCTCCCCTCCCCTCCTACCGTCTCCCATGGTCCCCACGCTCTCAATTTACTCAGGAGATCTTGTCATTTTCTATTTCCCAAGGACATTAGATCCATGTATGTCTCTCTTAGGGTCCTCTTTGTTGACAGCCAATTTCTTAAGTTTATACTAAAGCATGTTACAAAGCTGAAATAAGAGGTTAAGAAAATAATAATTACCAATCCAAGTTCCCAGATTCCAACCCAAGAGAGGGAAAGGGGATTTTATAAGCAAAGGGGTCAAGATCATGATGGGAAAACCCACAGAAACAGCTGGCTAATGGGAGCTCACTGACTCTAAACTGACAGCTAGGGAACCTGCATAGGACCAAACTAGGCCCTCTGAATGTGGATGACAGTTCTGTGGCTTGGGCAGTCTGTGGGGTCACTGGCAATGAGACCAGGATTTATCCCCAATACATGAACGCATTCCCTTTTTGGACACCTTACTCAGCTGCAAGCGGGGAGAAGCTTGGTTCTGCCTCAACTTCATATGCTGGACTTTGTAGACTCCCCATGGGCCTTACTCTTTTTGAAAAAATGGATAGAGGGTTGGGTAAGGGGAAGGGGGGTGGGAGGAGGGTAGAAAAGAGAAACTGTGGTTGGTATGTAAAATGAAAAAAATTACTTTTTAATAAAAAAAAAGAAAATAATTATATAAAAACTGATCATTCTAGAAGTATATAAAAAATTTCATTAAAGGGCTGGAGAGATGGCTCAGTGGTTAAGAGCATTGCCTGCTCTTCCAAAGGTCCTGAGTTCAATTCCCAGCAACCACATGGTGGCTCACAACCATCTGCAATGAGGTCTGGTGCCCTCTTCTGGCCTGCAGACATACACACAGACAGAATATTGTATACATAATAAATATTTTTTAAAAAATTTCATTAAAGCACTACGTTTATCTATTTAAAAAAACTATTGTACAGATGATAAAAGAACTATAAACTTCCTATATCATCGTCCAAAGCAAATACCAAACAATGAAATAATGGTCAACAATAAAGAATAAATGAAACAAAATCAATGATGAATAGTTAACACTATGTTAAATAAAACAAACTAGACAGAGAATTCGATTATATAATCTACCCACATCCAATTCTAAAAAAAATATAAAAATAAAATAGTAACAGTAAGTAAATGAGAGGTTGTCTTGGAATGGAGGTGGAATTGGTTCACAGGGGACGATGGGTTGATAAAGATATTCTGAGGCCTGCAAGATGGCTTAGGAAGTAAAAGCCCTTGCCAGAAAACCTGAAATCTGAGTTTGACCAACAGGTTTTACATGGTCAAAAGAAAAAACTGACTGCCAGAAGTTGATCTTTGATTTCCACATATGTGGTTTGGCCGCACACCACATACACACAGACACACACAAATAAAAAAATATCTAAAAACTGTAAGATGTTCTAAAGCTTTATTATATGATAGATGGTATACTGGCTGTTTTTGTATGTCAACTTCACACAAGTAAAGAGTCATCAGAGAGGAAGGAACCTCAGCTGAGGAAATGTCTCCATGAAACCCAGCAGTAACCATTTTCTCAATTTTGTGATCAATGGAGGAGGAACCAGACCACAGTGGGTAGTGCAGTCCCTGGGCTGGTGGTCCTGGGTTCTACAAGAAAGCAGGCTGAGCAAGCCATGAGGAGCGAGCCAGTAAGCAGCAGCCCTCCATGGCATCTGCATCAGCTCCTGCCTCCAGGGTTCCTGCTCTGCTTGAGTTCCTGTCCTGACTTCCTCCAATGATGAAAAATAACGTGGAAGTATAAACAAAATAAACCCTTTCCAACCAAACCCTACCAAGACAGATGGGTAAATATTTTACATGTTTATGTATTCATTAAACTGTACATTTTGAATGTATCTTATTAAAAGTTATAATTCAATAAAATTAAAATTTTCAAAAGCAGGAGCTGGTGGTTTATTTCAATACCACCAAAAGTAAATAAATTATTCACTACCTAGAGTAGCCTATTCACAATATTTTTTCTTTTTTTTTTTTCTTTGGTTTTTCGAGACAGGGTTTCTCTGTGGTTTTGGAGCCTGTCCTGGAACTAGCTCTTTGTAGACCAGGCTGGTCTCGAACTCACAGAGATGCGCCTGCCTCTGCCTCCCAAGTGCTGGGATTAAAGGCGTGCACCACCACCGCCCGGCTCTATTCACAATATTTTTAAAGACTTTGATTTTGAAATGATTCATTAAAGTTTTTTTTCTTCTTATAAAGATCCATAAGAATCAGATCCTTCTAATCACACACACACACACACACACACACAGCTGAAAAGATAAAACTTAACTGACACTTCATACTACACTGGCTGCTCTTTAAAGGACCAGGGATGGGCTGGACAGATAGCTCAGGAGTTAAGAGCACTGGTTGTTCTTCTAGAGGTCCTAAGTTCAGTTCCCAGCAACCACATGGTGGTTCACAACTATCTCTAGTGGGATCTGATGTCCTATTCTGCCATGAAGGCATACAAGCAGCTAGAGCACTCATACATATAAATAAATCTAATCCCACATCTGATAGAGGGCTAATTTATAAAATATATAAAGAAGTCAAGAAACTAGGCATCGAAAGAATAATCCAATAAAATATGGGGTCCAGATCTAAACAGAGAACTCAAGAGAGGAATCTCAAATGTCCAAAAGACACATAAAGAAATGCTCAACATCCTTAATCATCAGAGAAATGCAACCCAAAACAACTCTGAAATACCATCTTATATCCGTCAGAGAGGCCAAGCCCAAAAACACTGATAAAAGCTTGTTCTGGAGAAGATGTGGAGTAAGGGAAATATTCCCCCATTACTGGTGGGAGTGCAAACTTGTACAGCTGCTTTGAAAGTCAGTATGACGATTTCTCAGAAAATTAAGAATCAGCCTACCTCAAGACCCAGCAATACAACTCTTGGACATATACCGAAAGGATGTTCAATCATACTACAAAGACATTTCCTCAACTGTGTTAATAGCAGCATTATTCATAATAGCCAGAACCTGGAAACAATCTAGATGCCCCTCAACCAAAGAATGGATAGAGAAAATGTGGTAAATTTACACAATGGAGTACTACTCAATGGTAAAAGATAATGACATCTTGAAATTTGCAGGCAAATGGATGGAACTAGAAAAAAATATAGTATGTACTCACTCATAAGTGACTTTTAGACATAAAGCAAAGAATAACCAGCCTATAGTCCACAATCATAGAGAACCTAGACAACAAAGAGGACCCTAAGAGAGACATACATGGATCTGCCTAGGAAGTAGAAAAGGACAAGATCTCCTGAGTAAATTGGGAGCATGTGGAGCAGGGGGAAGAGGGTGGGAGGGGAAGGAGGAGGAACAAAGGAAAGTGGTGAAAATGTATAGCTCAATTAAAAAAATAAATTATAAAAATAAAATATATTAAAAAATTAAAAAATAAATTTAAAAAAGAAATATATTTTTGAACTATAAATAAATAAATAAAAGACAGGGGTTTAATTCAGAGAACTCTAATGGGGCTAACATCCATTTGGAACTCCAGGTCCAGAAGATCAGATATCCTTTTCTGGCTTCTCCAAGCATTGCATACATGTGCACACACACATGCATGCAGACAAAACACATAAAGAGTATAAAAACTCAAAGTAAGCTATTAAAGATTACATTCATGTGGAAGGCCATGTGCATGCAAGAGGGTTACAAATGTCAAAGAATATATGTATGCTCAGAAAAGAGCTCAGGCTTGTGTCTGAAGGAGAAGCTGCATGATAGCAGAAAATAAAAGGGAAAAGTAAAATTGATAGTTTCCAGGTGGAGGATGAAAACAATGCTTCACCAAGCATATAAAACCTCAAAGAAAATTCTGAGAGCATTGATATGTATAGGCATTTTTAAAAGTCTCCATTCAATCAGAACCACAGGAAACAACGGAGAATTATATGATCCCATCCAAAAAAGGGGGGGGGGGAATACAGTATTATTATATTAGTTCAGAATTCGTGAAACAACAAAACAGGAGTAACAAAACTAATAATCACAACTCCTGAAAAAATCTTGTTTCCAGAAGTACCACATTATGTTAAATTCTAGTTTTCATCTTCTTCCTCTGTAAAGCCCAAAACAAACAGAAGCCCTGCTTCTACCTTTGTAAAGAAATAGACTACTATTCCAATAGCTCAAAGAAACAGTTTTTGGTTGAATTTTCTTTTGATGGTACCAATGATCAAATCCATGGTGTGCACATGCCAAGCAAGTGCTCTATCACTGAGCTAAAATCCTGAAAGAATCACTTCTAAAAATAAATTATTAGTATCACACCTGCCTTGTTTCTTAGCCATTTTAAAGGTTTCCTGGGTCACTAAAAATGATGTCTATTATTATAGTTGTATTTCATCTTTTCAAATCTACCAATTGTTTCTTGAAGATTTAAGAAAACTGTGTCTAGCTGGGTGTGGTGGCACATACCTTTAATCCCAGCACCAAGTAAGCAGAGGTTTGTGGGATCTCTGTGAGTTCAAGGCTAGCCGCAATTACTACATAATGAATTCTAGCACAGCCAGAGCTATGAAGAGAGACTCTGTCTTTTTAAAAAAGAAGAGAGAGAGAAAGGGAGAGAGAGAAAGAGGTTTTTATATACCTTACCTCAAGTACTGGTCCAGCTCCAAGAATAATCTGTTCTACTCCACTAGCAAATCCTTTCTGACTGAGGGCAGTAAGGTGATGAATAAGAAAGTTTGTGCTTTGTGTCTTTCCAGAACCACTCTCTCCTGAAATCACAATACACTGATTCTTTTTGCGCTGAAGCATAGCATGATATGCTACATCTGCCACAGCATATATGTGGGGTTCAAGTTTTCCCAACTGGTGGTTATCATACATTTTGACATATTTAGGGTTATAAATAGGAAGAAATTTGAATGGGTTAATAGCTATTAGAATACTGCCAACATAAGTATAAATTTTTTCATGCTTAAAGCGATTCCGTAGGTTTTCTAAAAGAGTTTTCTCATTCAAATCAGGTAAGCTACATAAATCATCAAAGTCCTTCTGTTGAGGCTGTGGAAGGAAACCCCGTTCCATCATCCTGCGGCGTTCTTCGGTTACCCGTAGCCATGACTGAAGGCTACCATAATGGATTGATCCATCAAGATTTTTTTCTCTCAGAAGAAAGCGGTAATCCTCTCCACTCAAGCGATTTTCCAAAGCCATCCGAGGCCATAACATCATTCTTTGAACTGGACAGTCGGTTGGATTGAGTATCCATTCTTCTCCACCAAATTCCTTTACCTCTGCTAAGACGTAACATTTTGTTTTGTCTAGGTGAAGTCTATTTATAAGAGAATCAATCACCTCAGCAGCTGTGGAGTTTTTTCTGGCAGGAACTGGACAGTAAATTGTTCCTTCTGAAATTGTCCCGGGATATATTCGTAATGTATGTTCATTATCCTCAAAGCGTCGTCTTCCTCCATCACTTACATTCATATTGGATCTTGTCCCATCAGAACGGACAGTATGCATTCAGGACTTGGAAAACCATCTTCTTGGCAAAAGAACTGTAACATAAAGATAGAAACACTGAGCAGTCAAATTGAATATTGCTTTCTGTGTTCCAAAATGAAATCCTTAACAAGCATATTGACTGCAGCTTTCTGAACACAAAATCCTAACAACAAGAACAAGTATTAACGGGGGCTGGAGAGATGGCTCAGAGGTTAAGAGCACTGACTACTCCCCCAGATATCCTGAGTTCAATTTCCAGCAACCACATGGTGGCTCACAACCATCTGCAATGAGATCTGGTGCCCTCTTCTGGTGTACAAGTATACACCCAGGCAAAACACTGTATACATAATAAAATAAATTTATTTAAAAAAATAACAAGTATTAAACAGATTCAACGCAATGCCCATCAAAATCCTAGCAAAATTCTTCAAAGATCTAATTTTGAAAAGGAAGCAAAAAATATCAAATAGAAAAAAAAAAAGCATATTTAACAAGTGGTGCTGGCATAACTGGATATCAACAGGTAGAAAAATGAAAATAGACCCATATCTATCACCATGCACAAAACTCAAGTCCAAATGGATCAAAGACCTCAACAGCCTACAGAATGGAAAAGATCTTTAAAATATACAAAAAACTCAAGAAATTGGACACCAAGAGATCACATAATCGAATAAAAAAAAAATGGAGTACAGACCTAAACAGAGAAGTCTCAACGGAGGAATCAAAAACGGCTGGCAGGAAATGTTCAACATCCTTAGTCATCAGAGAAATGCAAATCAAAACAACTCTGAGATTCCATCTTACACCTGAAAGAATGGCCAAGATCAATAACACTGATGACAACTTATGCTGGAGAGGTTGTGGGATAAATTTCTGCATTGCTGGTGGGAATGCAAGCTGGTATAACCCCTTTGGATGTCAGTGTGGTGATATCTCAGAAAATTAGGAAACAACCTTCCTCAAGACCCAGTAATACCACTTTTGGGTATATATCCAAAGGATGCTCAATCATGCCACAAGGACATGTGCTTCATAGCAGGTTTGCTTGTCATAGCCAGAACCTGGAAACAACCTAAATGCCCCTCGATCAAAGAATGGATAAGGAAAATGTGGTACATTTACACAATGGAGTACAACACAGCAGAAAAAAATAACAACAGCTTGAATTTTGCAGGAAAATGGATGGAGCTAGAAAACATTATTTTGAGTGAGATAACCCAGACACAGAAAGACAACTATCACATGCTTTTTAAACATAAAGCAAAGAAAGCCAGCCTACAAACCACAATCCCAGAGAACTTAGACAACAATAGGGGCACTAAGAGAGACTTACATATAGATCTAATCTACATGGGAAGTAGAAAGTATAAAAAGGCAAGATCTCCTAAGTAAATTGGGAGCATGGGGACTTTGGGGAAGGACTGAAGAGGGAGGAGAGAGTCAAGGAGGGGAGCAGAGAAAAATGTAGAACTCAATAAATGTCAATTTAAAAAAAACAGAAAAAAAATAAAGCTTGCCTGAGAATCAGAGTACAGAGATAAACCACTAGTTAACATAGCAGCCAGTCAGTGGTGACACACACCTTTAAACCCAGGACTCAGGAAGCAGAAGCAGACAGGTGTTTGTGAGTTCAAGGTCACCCTAGGCTACTTGAGATTGAACAAGTTTCAAGGAGAAACATTACGAGGTAGTGAAGGCTCACACCTTTAATCCCAAGCAAGACATGGCTGGGCAGAAAGAGAAATATAAGACAGGAATAGACAAGAGCTCAGGTATTTAGTCTGAGAATTCGTAGGAACAGGATCGCCCCTTAGGTTTGAGTAATCTGAATAAGTAAGAAGTCTCTCTGGTAGCTGCTACTCTGCTTCTCTATCTTTCAGCTTTCACTCTCAAAAAAATTTTTTTTTTGTTGTTTTTGCCTGCATTTATGTATATGCACCACATGTCTACCTGGTATCTCTGGAGGTTAGATGAAGGTATCAGATCCTTGGAACTGAATTACAGAGTTGTGAGCTGCCACGTGACTGCTAGAAACTGACCTTGGGTTTTCTGCAATAACAGTTAATGCTATTATTAACTAATGAGCCATTTCTCCATCCCCTATCATAGGAATTTATTGACAAGTGTTAGTAAGTAGAATTATACAGTATCATTCAGTATAAAGATAGACAGAAGAAATAAACCAGGCAAATGTATGCATCTTTAAGAAATGAAAACCTGGTGAGGGTATGGTAGCACAGGCCTGTAATCCTAGTCTTACCAGTATACAGAGAAATGGCACAATGTACTACCAAGGCAAGACCCATTTGAGAAAACATAAATGATTTGCCTACAACTGTAAATATTAGGGGAATGAGCTATTAAGTACTCTGAATTTATTTTAGACGGGTAACTATGGGAAAATGGTGTTCAAGACCTAATAATATTGGAGCTGGGGAAATGGCACAGTGGGTAAAGTTCTTACCATGTCCGTAAGGAACCGGACTTTGGATCCCCAGAACCCACATAAAACCAGACACAGCAATACACATTTGCAATCCCAGCACTTCTATCCAGCGGTGAGATGAGAGGTAGAGACAAGAGAATCCACAAAAGCTCTTGGGTGGACCAGTTAGCACATTGTACTTAGCAGTGAACAAACAAAAAATAGTCTCAAACAAGGTAAAAGGCAAGGATTACCACCTTGAAATATCGTTTAATTTACACACACAGTAAGGCTTCTGCTCAAATGATAACTCCTAAAAAGAAAATTTTTCCTTATTAATCTAAAATATCCTTGTTGAAAGAATAAAAAACAATTTTTTTTTTTGAGACAGGGTTTTTCTGTAGCTTTGGTGCCTGTCCTGAAACTAGCTCTTGTAGACCAGGCTGGTCTCGAACTAATAAAAAACTATTTTAAAAGTTAAAATAACCCTTTGTTCTGCATCTCCTTATTGTATCTCCCCTTTTCTTTATTTACTTACTTTTTAATCAGAGAACTTGATACACAACCTAAACATATGATTATTTTTATTTTAGGTTTTTGTTTATTAAGTCAACATGCCCACTAAAAGGTAATAGAATTCCATCATTCCATCAAGAGTATTCATGCCTAAAAACACATGATAAGGGGCAAAAGAGATGGCTCAGCAGTTGTTGTAGAGCACTTGTTGCTCTACAAAGAACCCAGGTTCAGTTCCCAGCAGTCACATGGTGGCTCAAAATCATCTGTAACTCGCCGGGCGATGGTGGCACACGCCTTTAATCCCAGCACTCGGGAGGCAGAGGCAGGCGGATCTCTGTGAGTTCGAGACCAGCCTGGTCTACAGAGCTAGTTCCAGGACAGGCTCCAAAGCCACAGAGAAACCCTGTCTCGAAAAACAAAACAAAAAAAATCATCTGTAACTCCTATTCCAGAAAATCCAGTACTCTCTTTTGGCTTCTGCAGGCACTAGGTATGCGCATGGCACACTATATATATACAAGCAGACTAAACACTCATATGCCTAAAAATACAATAAATAAATCTAAAAATCACTTTAAATGTGTTGAAAGGAATAAGCAGTTTACATATACATTAATAAATATGTCAATTTATCAAACATTTTTATTGCTTAAGTTAAACATTTCACAGGTCGGTGGTGGCAGACACCTTTAATCCCAGAAGAGGCAGGTGGCTCAATAGATAAATATATTTGCTGCTAAGCCCAATGAAAGGAGAGTTTTCAGGTACATGTACTGTTAATTACTTCAACAATTTCAGAGATATACTTTATAGACTCACATTTGCATCTTCTATACATATTATCATGAGAAGCGTTCAGAGTCATGAACTGACTGTTTAATAAACCACCTTTGTCTATTTTGGAAGAAGTCTCAACTATCACTTTTATCACTTGCTGGCCTTTCAACTGCAATTATAATATTTCTTATTTTTGCTCAGTTCTTTCACACAATCAACATTCCAAGACTCAACAAGAAAGCATGGGGGGAGTATAATGGACAAAACAAGGAAAGAAATGAACAAAATAATTCCAGAAAGTACTTTTCTGTAAAGGACAGGATAGATAGAAAATATTTTACACTTTGGGGAACACAGAGTCTTTCACATGAAGTTTTTTGTTTGTCTTTTGTTTTATAGCCTTAAAAATATGAAAAACATTTTTGGCTCTCAGACAGGACAAAATCAGGCCACCGGCAGGATTTGGCTTGTGGGCAGCAGTTTGCCTATCATTATACTAAAGAGCTCCAGCACGCTATTTTAGTTATCAGTAGTGCGCAGTAACTTTAACTTCTCCAAGGTGGTAAAGCCTATAAGGCATGCAGAAGCCAATTATGCTAACACATGAGAGATATGCTTCAAGCTAAGAGCAGTGAAGAAGGCAAAAATGTCTCAACCAAGAACAAATTTGGAACTTTGAGAAATGAAATCACTGTGGTTCAAGCCAAGAAGGAAAGCAGTAAAAAGATAAGGTCAGAGATATGAAGGTATCAGATTACACAGTTCCTTGTAGTCTGAGGTTCTGTTCTAAATGTAAAAGAGGGCACCAGCAAGATGTTTCGAGCAGGTAAAGGTGCCTACCACCAAGCCTGAAATGAGTTCAATCCTGAGACTCAGATGGTTGAAGGATCCTATAAGTTGTCCTCTGAACTCTGTGTGCCATGTGAACACTAGCATCCATTTGCTTATTTTTTTAAACATTTATTTGTGTGTGTGTGCATGCGCACGAGCGTGTGCTCACATGGCACATAGGTAGAGTTCACAGGATAACCAAGAATACACAAAGAAACCATGTCTTGAAAAACCAAACAAATAATCTACAAGGATGACCCCAGCTAAGACTCTTAACATGAGAGATATGTAGCCTAAACTGGCCATCTTCTGTGACCAGGCAAAACTTCAGTGGAGGAATTGGGACACTAACCCAGCCACATAAGCTTCAACCTACAATCTGCCCTATCTATGGGATGTGCTGGGGAAAGGGTGGTACAGAGATTGTGGGAGTGGCCAATCAATGATTGGTCCAGTCTGAGACACATGCAATAAGAATGAGCCCACCCCTGACACTGACTGGAGTGACAGGACCCAGAGGCTGGATAGCCCAGAGACCTATGATAAAACCAAATACAACTGGAAGAAAAAAAAAGTCAATGTAATAATGTCTAATGATATTCTGCTATACTCAGAGATTGGTGCCTAGCCCAACTGTCATCAGAGAGGCTTCATCCAACAACTGATGGAAACAGATGCAGAGACCCACAGAGCCAAACATTAAGCTGAACTCTGGAAATCCTGCTGAAAAGAGGGAGGAAGGATTGTAGGAACCAAAGTGGTCAAGGAAATCACAAAAAAAAAAAAAAGAAAAAAAGAAAAAAAGAAAAAAAACAGAATCAACTAAATTGGGCTCATAGGAGCTCACAGAAACTGAACCAACAAACAGGGAGCCTGCATGGGACCAACCTAGGCCCTCTGCATATATGTGATAGTTGTGTAGCTTGTTCTTCTTGTGGGACTCGAAACGTTACAATGGGAGCAGGGGCTATCTCTGATCTTTTGCTGGCTTTTGAGACCCTATTCCTCATACTGAGTGCCTTGACCAGCCTTAATACAAGGTGTTCAGTCTTACTGCAACTTGATATCCATGGGAGGTGTGCATCCTTCTGAATAGAGACAGAAGAGGAACAGATTGGGGGAAGAGAAAGAAGTGGGGATAAGGGACTAGGAGGAAAGGAGAAAGGGGAAACTGCAATCAGTATAAGTATTTAGGCATCTGTACTGACCTGCCCTTAGGGTCCTGACAGGATACATCCTCAGTTGCAGCCACTA